ATCTAGTTCTGGGGGGGGGGGGGGGGGGGGGGGGTGAACTACCAAACAATACTTGCTTATACAAAAGTTAAAGACCTTTCTCCTGCCTCGGGTGCATCTGACATCTGATGTTAGGTCTATATTTGTATAGACCACTCGATGGGTGATGTGGTCGGCATCACCTCAAGCACCTTTACCTCCCAGGACTTTACCTGCTACCCAGACTGGTTAGACCAGAGGGTGTGCCAGATCTGAAGAAATTCTGGTCCAATGCAGGTCTGAACCCTAGACCTTAAGCTGGCGTGCAAGAGTGTCAGTATATAGTCACTACTTTACCACTGCTTCTCGGTTTCTCTATATGCAGCATGGCAGTGATGTGAATTTACGGTTCTTGTGAATAAGAATGACGATGATAAATGTCAGTACGTATGGACTGGGCTAGTGGATAATGGCGAATCTCTGATGCTCACATGATTGTGTGACCTGTGAGTTAAGCTTGGTGAAGCGCGTCTATGCTGCCTTTGAGGTAAAAACAGAAGATACTTTAACCAACTCCTCATGGAAACAGTTAGTAGAGGCAACTTGGAGTGGTTGCTGAATCGGGCGACTGGGCACACATGAGAATGACCAATGGGTAGTGATGTTGAGAATGACATGAGAATGTTTTATCAAGTCATGTGACAAGTAAGCATGTTCTATCAAGCCATGTAAATGTTATATCAAACCATATGACATGTTAGCATGTTCTATCAAGCCATGTGACATGAGAATGTTCTATCAAGTCATGTGACATGAGAATGTTCTATCAAACCATGTGACAGGTAAGCATGTTCTATCAAGCCATGTGACATGAGTAGCATTTTTTATCAAACCATGTGACATGTGAATGTTCTATCAAGCCATGTGACAGGTTAGCATGTTTTATCAGTGTGCTTTTGGAACTGTCGCAGTGGCAGACAGAGAGGGTCCATACTAGAGAGGTTGATATAATGAGACTGGGCTCCATAAGACATTGGGAGAGTTTTGGAAGCTACATAGACAGATTATAGCACCAGGACTACCACAAGGATCTGCAATTTCAACTGTGCTGTTTAATGTTCTTACAAGCAAGATTGCATACCTGTAAACACCTGGAGTTGGCAGAATATTGACATTTGCAGATGACGTTCTAATATATGGGAAGGGGAGAGATCAGGATCACATAGTTCAAGAGTTACAGGTGACAGTAGATAAGGTGATCGACTGGTGTACAGAGATGAGTGCTGTAATCAATCCAGAAAAGGCAACCATCATGGGGTGTTCTTTGGACAACAGGATTGTTACAGCGGATGTTCCCAAAATCAAAATAAATGGCAGGGACATAAAAAGAGACAACATACTGCGGTACTTGGGTATCACCTTTGACAGACCGTTTGTCTTTCAAGGCTCATATAGAGGGGATTGTGACAAAGGTTCAAAAAGGTCTTAATGCACTAAAGATTATGGCAGCGATGGACATGGAGCAAAAAATGCTGTTCACACTTTACCAGCACTAAATCATCTCAGTGACTGATCATGGATGAGGCTTACTCACTGTCTCGAAGAGTCAGCTAGAGAAACTGGAGCGCATACAGATGAAGCGGGTGATCCTGGGATGTACAAGAGACACCCTGATTGTGTGCATGCGATACATTCTTGCATTGCTGACTATTGCAGATAGACTAAAGGTGCCGCAGACTAAATCATACCTCAGAGTAGCTGCAGACAAAGAACACACTCTGTATGAAGCATTGGCTACGGGTAAGGGTCACAGGTTGAAAAAAAAGAAATCATGGATGGCTCAACAGAAGACACAATAAGACAAGTGTGCATGCTGAAGAACACTGGGCGAGGAGAGGAATGGGTCAGAGTACCAGAGGAAAAGTCTTACCTGTGTAGGGGCAGAGAGTGCAGAAAGTGGTCAGGGGGTGCTATGGAGGTGGAAGTCCAACAATCATTCACAACAATTCACGCCCATGTGATCTGATTATCTTTTATACAGATGGTTTGATGGTGAGAGGAAAGAGATGTGCCGGGGGGTTTATGGGAAAGCCAATGGAAAATCTTTAGTGCAAGACAGCCTAGCATACGACACCATAACATCTAGCATGAGAATGGAGGTGGAGGCGGTAACTGCAGCTCGCCGGTGGCTAGAGAACAAGATGCATACACATGTCGTAATTGTAACAGACTCTGAAAGCATGCTGAGAAAGGTGAAGACAGGGATGCTTCGAGCAGAGTGGCAAGCTTTACTGGAAAGGTCATGGGTAGTGAGCATACTTTAGATATTTTCTCCAGGCATTGCCGGTGTATTGAGTAATGAACAGGTAGACAGACTGGCTGGTTCTGCACCACTGGGTGGTGAACTGATACATGACAAGGCAGATTGGCTCAAGGCTGTTTGGGAACAAGAAATGGAATCAGTAGAGAAACAAGATTATTTTGGACTGGGGAGAAGAAGCACCTGGGTGTAACCAGAGGGTCTGGCTGACTTACCACACTCACAGAAAAGGGAAGACGGACATATAACCAGATTGTGACCGGTACCATCAGTATTGGAACTCTGCACTGGCTGCTGAAGAGGAGTTATGGAGCACACAACAGGAATGCCTCGAGTGCTGTGATGTTAATTCTTGACTCAACTCAGCTCCCTTTCTATCAAGCCAATGTGACAGGTTAGCATGTTCTATCAAGTCAATGTGACAGGTTAGCATGTTCTATCAAGCCAATGTGACAGGTTAGCATGTTCTATCAAGTCAATGTGACAGGTTAGCATGTTCTATCAAGTCAATGTGACAGGTTAGTATGTTCTATCAAGTCAATGTGACAGGTTAGCATGTTCTATCAAGCCAATGTGACAGGTTAGCATGTTCTATCAAGTCAATGTGACAGGTTAGCATGTTCTATCAAATCAATGTGACAGGTTAACATGTTCTATCAAGTCAGTGTGACAGGTTAGCATGTTCTATCAAGTCAGTGTGACAGGTTAGCATGTTCTATCAAGTCAGTGTGACAGGTTAGCATGTTCTATCAAGTCAATGTGACAGGTTAGCATGTTCTATAAAGTCATGTGACCCGTTAGCATGTTCTATCAAGCCAGTGTGACAGGTTAGCATGTTCTATCAAGCCATGTGACCCGTTAGCATGTTCTATCAAGCCAGTGTGACAGGTCAGCATGTTCTATCAAGCCAATGTGACAGGTCAGCATGTTCTATCAAGCCAGTGTGACAGGTCAGCATGTTCTATCAAGCCAGTGTGACAGGTTAGCATGTTCTATCAAGCCAGTGTGACAGGTCAGCATGTTCTATCAAGTCAATGTGACAGTTTAGCATGTTCTATCAAGTCTATGTGACATTTTAGCATGTTCTATTAAGTCAATGTGACAGGTTAGCATGTTCTATCAAGTCAATGTGACAGGTTAGCATGTTCTATCAAGCCAATGTGACAGGTTAGCATGTTCTATCAAGTCAATGTGACAGGTTAGCATGTTCTATCAAGTCAATGTGACAGGTTAGCATGTTCTATCAAGTCAATGTGACAGGTTAGCATGTTCTATCAAGCCAATGTGACAGGTTAGCATGTTCTATCAAGTCAATGTGACAGGTTAGCATGTTCTATCAAATCAATGTGACAGGTTAACATGTTCTATCAAGTCAGTGTGACAGGTTAGCATGTTCTATCAAGTCAGTGTGACAGGTTAGCATGTTCTATCAAGTCAGTGTGACAGGTTAGCATGTTCTATCAAGTCAATGTGACAGGTTAGCATGTTCTATAAAGTCATGTGACCCGTTAGCATGTTCTATCAAGCCAGTGTGACAGGTTAGCATGTTCTATCAAGCCATGTGACCCGTTAGCATGTTCTATCAAGCCAGTGTGACAGGTCAGCATGTTCTATCAAGCCAATGTGACAGGTCAGCATGTTCTATCAAGCCAGTGTGACAGGTCAGCATGTTCTATCAAGCCAGTGTGACAGGTTAGCATGTTCTATCAAGCCAGTGTGACAGGTCAGCATGTTCTATCAAGTCAATGTGACAGTTTAGCATGTTCTATCAAGTCTATGTGACATTTTAGCATGTTCTATTAAGTCAATGTGACAGGTTAGCATGTTCTATCAAGCCAGTGTGACAGGTCAGCATGTTCTATCAAGTCAGTGTGACAGGTTAGCATGTTCTATCAAGCCAGTGTGACAGGTTAGCATGTTCTATTAAGTCAATGTGACAGGTTAGCATGTTCTATCAAGTCAATGTGACAGGTTAGCATGTTCTATCAAGCCTATGTGACAGGTTAGCATGTTCTATCAAGCCAGTGTGACAGGTTAGCATGTTCTATTAAGTCAATGTGACAGGTTAGCATGTTCTATTAAGTCAATGTGACAGGTTAGCATGTTCTATCAAGCCAGTGTGACAGGTTAGCATGTTCTATCAAGTCAGTGTGACAGGTTAGCATGTTCTATCAAGCCAGTGTGACAGGTTAGTATGTTCTATTAAGTCAATGTGACAGGTTAGTATGTTCTATCAAGTCAATGTGACAGGTTAGCATGTTCTATCAAGCCAGTGTGACAGGTTAGCATGTTCTATCAAGTCAATGTGACAGGTTAGCATGTTCTATCAAGCCAGTGTGACAGGTTAGCATGTTCTATCAAGTCAATGTGACAGGTTAGCATGTTCTATCAAGTCAATGTGACAGGTTAGCATGTTCTATCAAGTCAATGTGACCAGTTAGCATGTTCTATCAAGTCAATGTGACCAGTTAGCATGTTCTATCAAGTCAATGTGACAGGTTAGCATGTTCTATCAAGTCAATGTGACAGGTTAGCATGTTCTATCAAGTCAATGTGACAGGTTAGCATGTTCTATCAAGCCATGTGACCAGTTAGCATGTTCTATCAAGCCATGTGACAGATATGACTGATATGTAATATTTTGTGACAGAAGAAAGTTCCATCAGGAAGATTCATCTAGACTCTAGATAGACACACAAAAATTGCATTTGGCAAGATTTACTTGAAATTTCCCCGAACATTGCCAGCGAACTCTGCATAGCGGACAATGGTTTCTTGTGGACGTTTTCCCACACCTGTCTGGACAGACGTCCACTCAACAAGCATGGTGTTAGGGTCTTGAGCCTCCACAGCTAGGATGACCAGTTCTTGACCCTCGGGTGATTCTTGTGGCTCTGTTGATGTGTAGACGTAAGGATATTGTTAGAAATCTGTTTAAGTGACACTGACAAATCTCGAAATATAGTTTGAATGTAGATTGTAATTGTGTTTTGAAACTTTCAGTGCAGCCAAGAACTAAGCCACAAGTGGAATGTGGACAGATCTGGGCAGACTTTCAGTTTTCTGTAACATCCATAGCAGTGAAGTGATGCAAATGTGTCTTTTGAATGTATGTTTTATTTGTGTGTGTTTGCATATGTGTGTGTGTATATATACATATATATATATATATATATATATATATATATATATATATATATATATATATATATATATATATATATATATATATATATATATATATATATATATATATATATATATATATATATATATATATATATATATATGCAAACATACACATACAGTGGTACCTTGGTATACATACTTAATATGTTCCTGATCCATGGACGTATACTAAACAAATTTTCACATAAAAAATAAAAGGAGAAAGATTAATCCCTTCTCATGGGAAAAAAACACCCTATTGGTACTGGCACATTATACATTGTTGGGGTTGTATCCAATAATTGATATATACTGCCTAATACTAAAGTACATGAACACAAAAGTGATCAGATGAGACAAATGAACATTCAACCCCAAATGACCTTTCTGAGAAGAGTCTAGTGCCGACTATGATGATACTGGGGAAGGAGAGGTTACTGTGTGCAAGGAGAGGTTACTGTGTGCAAGGAGAGGTTACTGTGTGCAAGGAGAGGTTACTGTGTGCAAGGAGAGGTTATTGTGTGCAAGGAGAGGTTACTGTGTGCAAGGAGAGGTTATTGTGTGCAAGGAGAGGTTATTGTGTGCAAGGAGAGGTTATTGTGTGCAAGGAGAGGTTATTGTGTGCAAGGAGAGGTTATTGTGTGCAAGGAGAGGTTATTGTGTGCAAGGAGAGGTTATTGTATGCAAGGAGAGGTTACTGTGTGCAAGGAAAGGTTACTGTGTGCAAGGAGAGGTTACTGTGTGCAAGGAGAGGTTATTGTGTGCAAGGAGAGGTTATTGTGTGCAAGGAGAGGTTATTGTGTGCAAGGAGAGGTTATTGTGTGCAAGGAGAGGTTATTGTGTGCAAGGAGAGGTTATTGTGTGCAAGGAGAGGTTATTGTGTGCAAGGAGAGGTTATTGTGTGCAAGGAGAGGTTATTGTATGCAAGGAGAGGTTACTGTGTGCAAGGAAAGGTTACTGTGTGCAAGGAGAGGTTACTGTGTGCAAGGAGAGGTTATTGTGTGCAAGGAGAGGTTATTGTGTGCAAGGAGAGGTTATTGTGTGCAAGGAGAGGTTATTGTGTGCAAGGAGAGGTTATTGTGTGCAAGGAGAGGTTACTGTGTGCAAGGAAAGGTTACTGTGTGCAAGGAGAGGTTATTGTGTGCAAGGAGAGGTCACTGTGTGCAAGGAGAGGTTACTGTGTGCAAGGAAAGGTTATTGTGTGCAAGGAGAGGTTATTGTGTGCACGGAGAGGTTATTGTGTGCACGGAGAGGCCCCTTCCAATAAAATTTCATTAAACTGAAATTCTTGGGGTTTTTTCTTCTATTTTTTCCTGTTTCTGTTTGCTAGTTGGACTTGATTGAGGCTCATGGGGTTTGCCATGTTACTAAACATCTGATTCAGAAATGTGACAGTGTCTGTTAATTCTAGTCCATGCTTTTACAGACTTTGGGGCTTTGTTGTTGTCTGGCACTTCAGTGGCAATGGCAGTCCTCTCAAGGGAGGTAAACAGAGATTGCGTGTGTAATGTGGTGACTAACTTTGACTCATACAAGTTCATATTGCAAACAAAGATTTGGTAAGCAAAAGTCTAGATAGGGTGCATACCAATTTGAATATATAAAGAGGTATCCCTGTAGTGTGAATGTTTATTATCATCATAAACCACTTCTACCGTTAAGCAACATGGGGAAGAATAATTTGTGATCTAGTGCACAAAGGCTTTGTCCTGCCCTGAAGGCGCCGAGTGTCTTTAATGTTGTCGATCCATATTTTTCACTACCATCGTCCTGCTCTTGTAGCTGATCTTCTAAAAATGTAGTGCTTGTGGTGGTATCTGATCTTGCCACTTTCTAACAAGATGGCCAAACCACTTGATCTGCTGTTTCTGGATGAATTTAGTTCAAGGTCGTTCCCACAATCTATTTGATAATATTCACTCGATCTCAGATTGTAAAGTTGGCAGCTTTTCTCCGGCATCTTATTTCGCAAGTGGTGATTTTGCTTACATCCACTCGATCTCAGATTGTAAAGTTGGCAGCTTTTCTCCGGCATCTTATTTCGCAAGTGGTGATTTTGCTTACATCCACTCGATCTCAGATTGTAAAGTTGGCAGCTTTTCTCCAGCATCTTATTTTGCAAGTGGTGATTTTGCTTACATCTGCATTAGATAGTGTCCATGTTTGGCACTAGTAGCTTAAGGTTGGAATGAAAATGCTGTTTATAATCTGTCTCTTTGCACATAGTTATGTTTGGATGTCTTAATAATGGTGACAGCTGGTATGTAAGTGCACTTGCTTTCTGACATCTGGGTTTCTTTTTCTCTGTCAATTCTAATATCTTCCCTAACTTGATTCAGACTGGAACCATTCAGCTATATGTGTAGTAGGCCAGTTCTACTAGCTTGCATAGTTTCGGTTTTGTTTGCATTGATCTTCATGTTGTATTTACTGCATGCTGAGTTTAACCTGTTATTGTGGTCTTGCAGTCTATCTTCCTCACTGTAGAACAAGCACTGGTCATCAGCAAATAGGAGTTTGTTTCATGTGGTTGTGTTGATTACTTTGCTGTTTGTTCTTCCTCATGATTATAACGATCTATGTTGTCTGTATTAGAACTTGCTTCTTTAGATATTCTGTCTAAAAAAATGTTAAATAGAAGTGGGGAGAGCACACATCCCTGTCTTACACCTCTATCCCACCATGTTTATCTACATAGGTATATTCTATGTGTGGATCTGCATACGTTAATGTGCAGGTAAATGAATATATTATTTTCTCTGTGTTTGTGTTGTATTTCTATATTTGGTACATTTGTACTAGCCAGTATGTGTTTCAACTAGTAGACCTCAGGTCAAGGTACCGTCAGTATTTGTTTTGAACAAATCACAGGTTATGTGCACCTCACAATGTGTCAACAAACATATTGAATAATTCAGCCATTAGACATTTGACAAAGAGATTACTTCTTCTTTATAATCACTGGGTGTAAACTCTTGTTTAATCTCGTTCCATAACTTGAGTCTGCTAGCAAATCCATTTGTCAGATCTGCTTATTTAGGCCCAAACTGTTGGTTCCTTAACTGTTAGACAGACTTGAAAGAAAAGCCCTAATTAGTTGACTCTCACGCATGCTTGTTAGGGAGGCAGTGAGTCTATCCTTATTTCTCTTCACAATGGGGTCATCAGAACACACAAGGAAAAATAATTACGGTTTCAGTCACAGTAAATATACATTTTCATCAACAGATTCTATGATAAGTTCAAGTCAGTACGTGTTTCTTTGATAAGTTCAAGTCAGTACGTGTTTCTTTAAGTTCAAGTCAGTACGTGTTTCTATGATAAGTTTAAGTCAGTATGTGTTTGGACAAATGTGTTACAGGCTAATCAATATTCAATATCTGTTGTGAGAAAGAGATCAGAGGCTCAGTTCCACAATTCTATAAAACAAGCAAAACTACACTGACCCCTGGGCTTGACTGTGGTCACTGCTCTCTCCTTGTTGAACACAGATGACGTTCGGATAGGTTCCACTGCATGTCCAGGAGGTGGGACTAGAAATGTGTATCCAACATACTCTATAACACTGCCATACTTATCCAGTGCATCCAGGTGGATGTAGTAGCGTCTGCAGAATGATCAGTTAAGTAAATAAGTCGGTCAGTCAGTCAGTATCTTTGTGTGTGTGTGTGTGTGTGTGTGTGTGTGCGTGAACAAGCGGGTGTAGGGACAGACATAGAAAGAGTTTCTGTGTCAGTATGTGTGCTTGAATATCTGTGTATGGACAAAGGTATGTGTAGGTGTGTGTGGAGAGAGAGATTGTATGTCGTGTGTGTGAGTGTGTGAAGAGAGAGAGACAGGAAGATAGAGTTGGTATGTGCATGTAGGTGTGTGTGTAGAGAGAAAGTTAGGCATATGTTTGAACAGAGAGAGAGAGAGAGAGAGAGAGAGCGAGTGAGAGAAAGAGATTTGTGTCATGTTGGTGGGTGTATATGTGTGGACAGAAACGGAATCGAGCTGATATGTTCATGTAGGTTATGTGTGTAGAAAGAAAGTTAAATGTACGTGAATAGAGAAAGAGAGATATTTATGTCATGTGGGTGGGTGTATATTTGCGGACAGAAACGGATAGAACTGATATGTTCATGTAGATTATGTGAAGAAATAGCTGATATGTGGGTGTAATTTATCTAATCTGCTTACATTAATTATGCATAATTCAACAAAGTTGCTTACATCAGGAATGTGTAACTTACCAAACTTGCTTACATCAGAAATGTGTAATTTGCTGAAGTTGTTTACATCAAGAATGTGTAATTTCCTGAAGTTGCTTACATCAGGAATGTGCAATTTACTGAAGTTGCTTACATCAGGAATGTGTAATTTATTGAAGTTGTTTACATTAGACAAGACTAATTTATTCAAATCTGCTTACATCAGGAATGTGTAATTTGCTGAAGTTGCTTACATCAGACAAGACTAATTTAATCAAATCTGCTTACATCAGGAATGTGTAATTTACTGAAGTTGCTTACATCAGACAAGACTAACTTAATCAAATCTGCTTACATCAGGAATGCATAATTCACTGAAGCTGCTTACATCAGTCAAGACTAACTTAATCAAATCTGCTTACATCAGTCAAGTAAAATTGATCAAATCAGCTTACATGTCGGCCATCAGGTCGCTGACTGTGTAAGAAACCACACCCAGGTTTAGCTGATCTTCTAGCAGTAAAGAACCCTCAGGTCCATCTTTGTAGACTTTGATCTTGTAGAGAGCAATAGGCCTCCTTCTGTTGTCTTTGGTCACGGTCCAGTTAACCTTCACCTGGTTCAGGCCAGCTGGGTTCAGCTCCAGGTCAATTTCAGGTTTGGAATTGTCTACAAGGAGAAATGAAGTTTTGACATCAAGAAAACATAATGATGGAATTTCTGTCATTGCTGGTTTCTAATGGGAGGGTTTTGAAGTTTGCTTAGTGCATAATGTTCAGAACTTGATGTACAATCTCGATCATTTGATTGCAAAAACTATACTTCAAAGATTATTGGTGTGTGTGTGGGGGTTGGGGGGGGGGTTAAGTCAAAGAAGGGGGGTGAGAGGCGGTGGAGGGTGGAGGGGGTGTGCAAAGAAGAACCTCGAATGACAACATCAAGAAATGGAGAGGACTGAATTATTAAATGCTTGTTCAAGAAGCCGAAGACAGAGAAAGACGTTGGCTTTTGTATGCTGGTTCTTCCATCAATACACCTCCACGAACCTAATGGGTCTATGTGTGATCTATGAAAGGAGACTCAAATACTTACAGAGCTACCTTAATCTTTTAGACGAGAGAGGCATGTGATGAAACAGATTTATATAGAAAGATACTAGATAAGAGAGGCAGAGGATGAGACATATTTATGAAAAAAATTACTGGATAAGAGAGGCACAGGATGAGACAGATTTATATAAAAAGTTACTAGATAAGAGAGGCAGAGGATGAGGCAGATTTATACAGAAAGTTACTAGATTAGAAAGGCACAGGATAAGACAGATTTATATAGAAAGTTACTAGATAAGAGAGGATGAGGCAGATTTATATAGAAAGTTACTAGATAAGAGAGGCAGAGAATGAGACAGATTTATACAGAAAGTTACTAGATTAGAAAGGCACAGGATAAGACAGATTGATATAGAAAGTTACTAGATAAGAGAGGATGAGGCAGATTTATATAGAAAGTTACTAGATAAGAGAGGATGAGGCAGATTTATGTAGAAAGTTAGTAGATAAGAGAGGCACAGGATAAGACAGATTTATATAGAAAGTTACTAGATAAGAGAGGCAGAGAATGAGACAGATTTATGTAGAAAGTTACTAGATAAGAGAGGCAGAGAATAAGACAGATTTATGTAGAAAGTTAGTAGATAAGAGAGGCCTAGGATAAGACAGATTTATATAGAAAGTTACTAGATAAGAGAGGCACAGGATGTGGCAGATTTATACAGAAAGTTACTAGATTAGAAAAGCACAGGATGAAACAGATTGATACAGAAAGTTACTAGATAAGAGAGGATGAGGCAGATTTATATAGAAAGTTACTAGATATGAGATGATGAAACAGATTTATATAAAAAAGTTACTAGATATGAGAGAGAAACCAAAATCAAAATTCTGTGAGCATGCATCTCCCCTGTATCAACATATAGATGCATGTCGTGGACTTACAGTTGGTAAGGAAGACAGTATGAGTATTTGAGCTGTAAGGTTACAGAAAGATTCTTAGAATACCAAGGATCATTTAAAAAATACTGACATAAAAAATCTGAACATCAAGTAGGACTGGTTAGTAAACAGCATCTTGTCTCGGAAAGTGAATCATTTTGGCCATGTAAAGCATGAAGGTGGATTGGACAGTGAAATATTTTGGCCATGTTAAGCATGAAGGTGGATTGGACAGTGAAATATTTTGGCCATGTTAAGCATGAAGGTGGATTGGACAGTGAAATATTTTGGCCATGTTAAGCATGAAGGTGGATTGGACAGTGAAATATTTTGGCCATGTTAAGCATGAAGGTGGATTGGACAGTGAAATATTTTGGCCATGTCGAGCACGTGTCTCAGTAACCATTCAACTGGCTAAGGAAGTGCCAGTTGAACATTATGCTATCCTATTCATGAGCTCAGGGTAGTGGATCGGACCCATAGTCTCCTCAGACTAGACTAATTGGATGTCATGTTTCATGTTAAACCTCCCAGAGGAGTTGAAAATTCTCATGAGAAAACTGTATTAGTTGCTGCTCTGGCAGTATTTCAGAGTCAAACAAATCTCTCCACAACATATTATGACTAAAGTGATACTGATATAGACCTATAGAGCCCTTGTCTTTGTTATGGCAGTCATGGACTCAGCTGAATCACTTGTCGAAGTAGAGTAACAGCCCTTGTCACAACTTTGTCGCTCTAGGCGTATGATACTTCTTGTGCATTAAAAGGGTAGTTGGTAAATCGTATTGTGGTCTACAGCTAGGTGGAGAGAGCAGCACCTGTTGGTCCAACACATCTGATTTCAGCAAATCCTTAACTGATCGTCTTTTACATTTTTTTGTTAATGAGAAGTGAATCTATTCTCTCCATTACCCCCAAAATGGGCCCTGGACGCCTGATACAGAATCAGACAGAAGACTCATATTTTTATAGGCAAATCAGCCTTGGAGGGGTTATATAGCTAACATCTCAGCCTTGGAGGGGTTATGTGGCCAACATCTCAGCCTTGGAGGGGTTATGTGGCTAACATCTCAGCCTTGGAGGGGTTATGTGGCCAAAATCTCAGCCTTGGAAGGGTTATGTGGCCAACATCTCAGCCTTGGAGGGATTATGTGGCCAACATCTCAGCCTTAGAGGGGTTATGTGGCCAACATCTCAGCCTTGGAGGGATTATGTGGCCAACATCTCAGCCTTGGAGGGGTTATGTGGCCAACATCTCAGCCTTGGAGGGATTATGTGGCCAACATCTCAGCCTTGGAGGGATTATGTGGCCAAAATCTCAGCCTTGGAGGGGTTATGTGGCCAACATCTCAGCCTTGGAGGGATTATGTGGCCAACATCTCAGCCTTGGAGGGGTTATGTGGCCAACATCTCAGCCTTGGAGGGGTTATGTGGCCAACATCTCAGCCTTGGAGGGGTTATGTGGCCAACATCTCAGCCTTGGAGGGGTTATGTGGCTAACATCTCAGCCTTGGAGGGGTTATGTGGCCAACATCTCAGCCTTGGAGGGGTTATGTGGCCAACATCTCAGCCTTGGAGGGATTATGTGGCCAACATCTCAGCCTTGGAGGGATTATGTGGCTAACATCTCAGCCTTGGAGGGGTTATGTGGCCAACATCTCAGCCTTGGAGGGATTATGTGGCTAACATCTCAGCCTTGGAGGGATTATGTGGCTAACATCTCAGCCTTGGAGGGATTATGTGGCCAACATCTCAGCCTTGGAGGGATTATGTGGCTAACATCTCAGCCTTGGAGGGATTATGTGGCCAACATCTCAGCCTTGGAGGGGTTATGTGGCTAACATCTCAGCCTTGGAGGGGTTATGTGGCCAACATCTCAGCCTTGGAGGGGTTATGTGGCTAACATCTCAGCTATAGAAGGATTATGTGGCCAACATCTCAGCCTTGGAGGGGTTATGTGGCTAACATCTCAGCCTTGGAGAGATTATGTGGCCAACATCTCAGCCTTGGAGGGGTTATGTGGCTAACATCTCAGCCTTGGAGGGGTTATGTGGCCAACATCTCAGCCTTGGAGGGGTTATGTGGCCAACATCTCACACCTGCTGCCTTTACTTCCAAGTAAATATTTTAGGCTGGGTGACCTGGGGCAGGCAAGTATCTAAGGTTCGTCTGGTTAGCTTTAAAACAGGATAAGGGAACGCTAAAAGAAATAAACTCAGTTCTCGCCGGAGCTATAGAGTTCAGGCATTCATGCTGAGATCTGATGCAGAAACATTGACAAGCTATAGTTACTGCAAGGCCACATTAACAGGTTTAACTCAGCATGCAGCATGCAGTAAATACAACATGAAGATCAATGCAAACAAAACCAAAACAATGCAAGTTAGTAGAACCCCTGCCCCACTACACACACAGCTGAATGGTTCTGCTCTGAATCAAGTTAGGTAGTTTAAATATCTAGGAAGTATGATCACGGAAGATGGGAGAACTGACAGATAAATAGAAACCAGATTTCAGAAAGCAAGTGCACTTATATACCAATTGTCACCATTATTAGGACATCCAAGCATAACTATGAGTGCAAAGAGACAGATTATTAACAGCATTTTTATTCCAACATTAAGCCTGAGGTGTCTGAGAAAAGCAGCCAGCCTAACCATCCGAGATCACGTTAATAATGAAACTATCAGGCAAACTGTGGGAACAACACCTTGTACTGGTTTCATTGAGAAACAGCAGATCAAGTGGTTTGGCTATCTTGTTAGAATGCAGCAAGATCAAATACATTCACAAGCACTACATCTCAGAAGATCAGCTAAAAGAGCAAGAGGATGGCCGCGGAAACATGGATCGACAACATTAAAGAAACGCTATGCCTTCACTGCATGACAATAGCTAGTGGCAGCCAATGTGCACTGGATCGCAAATTATTCCTTTCCACGACGCTTAACGGCAGAAGTGGTTTATGGTGATGATGATGAGACGGAGGAGAGGACAGTATGGTAGAAGGTTACACAACAAACGTGCTGGTGTTAGCTAGTGTGAGCTGCCGTCCCAGCCAGATAAGCAGTTCCTCATGGCAACAATCAGTAGAGGTGCCCTGGAGTGGATGCTGTATGGAAGGACTGAGCATACATGGTAGTGTCCAATGTGCACTGACGTCAGTTATGATAATTTAACATGACATAACAAAACAAACAGATAATTTCAACTGCAACTGACTGGCCTTTAAACGTCCAGAAAAAAAAAAACTTGTCAGTCAGTCATTAAATCAATCAGTCAGTAAGTCAGTCACATGAAGTGAGGTGTCATCAGTTTTGTAGATTAATTTATTCAATGACTCACCATCATCATCACGTTGACTGTCACCTTCCTGTAATTGTGTCTGAGACAGACTTCTGTCAGACTGTTTCAGGGTCACACGAATTGGGGCCACAGTTGTGCCAGGTTGGTAGACAGTGCTGGCAGACACAACTGGTGACCCACTTTTAGACACAGCATCCAGTTCCACAAAGTACTGTCTGGAAAATATACATTCACAAAGATTAATGAAGCCTTGCCATTAAATGGTCAACACTCAAAAGAAAAAAGCAAAACAAACACAAAATCAAACTGCAGCTGGCACCACTAATACTGGAATCCTCTGCTGGCCACTGAAGATAAGGATGGTGTAATTCTGGGAATGCCCTGAATGTTGTGATAGTTCATAACACGTGTCAACTATTCATGGTGCACATCACCGGGCTTATTCTGTGAGCATGAGATCAAACGTTTTGGACTATACAGTCATACAAAGTGATCAGAAATACGCAATTTAGATTTTAACTTAGTCCCACACAAAAATGAGCCAGAAACAGTTTGTTATTATACAAGTTGCAATAAACGATCTTTCACAACTTGGGGTGTTGGGTATGCTCATGTGTTAGCCTGTTTCTGCTTCTGCAAGTTATATGAATAACAAAAATAGCCTCTGTTTAATTATGGGTGTTTTACTTTATTTGACAATAAATCTTCTTCTTCTTCTTTCTTTTGCTTGAAATAGATTATCTATATCTGCAATGTTGTCTCTAGTATGAACTTCACTGTCTGTCAGAATACCACAGGTTGTGAAATATGTCATATATTTAATAGCTTCTCTGCTGCTATTTTGATGGCTTGAACTTCTGCATCATAGTTTTGGCAGTGCTTTCCTGTAGGTATTTTGGCTGTATATCTGGTATTATTTGGATGCTCAATATACACTGCTGCTTCTCTATTTCTGCTGGTGTTTCGTACTGACCCATCCGTACAGACACCAAGCTAAAGATTATGTGGGTATTTGTCATCAAGTAGAGCGAGAGTGGCTGTTTTACAATGCACACTGTTTTGTTCTTTGTCGAATACTCCTTTCACTTCTGCGTGGATGTGTATTGACAACTTGTAATTCTCTGTCTAAGGAGTCTGATCTAGAATAGCATTTAAGGGGCTATCAGTTGCAGGCAGATAATTGGTTTGCCTGCAGAGTCGTTGGGCCTGGTGGATAAAACTGCAACTTTTTAGTCGATAGATCAAATTATTTAATCATCCAAAGTTTCAGTCATCCTTTAGTATCTCACATTTTCATTGGGTTAATGATAAGTAAAAATGTGTTATTACCCAGTGTTCACTCTGTTGACAGAGTTTATGAGTTTAGTGTTTATACATCTAATAGAGTTTGTATGATATGATTTTCACACATTTTATGGAAAATTTGTGACATAATGTACACATATTTGACAGAGTCTGTATGATAGTATTCAGTTCACACATTCGATGGGACGTATTTCTAACATGTATTGGAAAGCCCAAATGTATGTCTAAAATGCAATCTTTATTAGGCTTTAAATTAGATGCTAATTTTTATTACTGGAAAAACAGTCAACCATCCGGAAAAATATATCATTTTTGTTTCCACTGTGTCCCAATGTCAGACACAATTTGTTGTTCTTTTAAAGCACCACCCTGGCTGTTGTCTTAATGAAACCCAAACTGTCCCTGGTTGTTCCTCATCCGAATGGTGGCACTTTGTGTCACTGGGTGTTTATCACTTGGTGTGATGTCCCGGTGGGGTTAAACATTGTTCAGTCAGCTAACTGTATACATATCAGCTTTTTCTGCAGTTATGCTAATAGTGATTTCTATAGATATCTCAGCCACGTGTACAGTTTACTTTACAATTCTCTTCTTCTGTTGGTTATTTTCACTAGGGCTGTACAGAATATTTGTTTTGTATTTGCTTCGGGGCAGAATAGTGGACCGAAAACTATTCGGTAATCGGCCGAATACTTGCAGTCGGGCCGTTTCTGCATACACTGCGATGGACTGAAATAACTCTCTCATTAACACAAAAGTTGCTGTTGCCTAAGTCTGTCGTAGTGGGTCAAATTGCGACCCAGTTGCATGATACAACAACTGGCAAGGTCTTTGTCTGCTGACTAGACTGAGGCATTACAGCAGAGGTTCTCAAACTGGGTGCGTATGCCAGGGGTGAAAATCAAGAAAAGTCGGCTATTAATTGTGACTTTATTAAAGAAGGCATAAAGATAATAAAAGTTAAAATTTAAATTGTCTTTCCTCACCGCCATCGAAAAGAGGACAGGCGACAGGCAGTAACTGCATTTTTTAAAATGAAGAACATATTATGCAATATATCTTTGTCATTGAAGGTTAGAAAAATAATTCTTGTTTGCTACATACATCCAGTTTTAACATATGGCTGGGAGTCCTGGACAATTAGTAGGCAGGCCAAACAATTTCTTGAGGCCTTAGAGATGTGGTTTTACAGAACAATGTTTAAAATACCTTGGACAGCCAAACAAAGCAACCAAGAGGCTTTGAAAGAGGCGGGAGCCCTAAGACAACTAATCACAGACATCAGATGGAGACAGTCATAATTTTTTAGCCATATTATGAGAAGAGGGAAAATAGAACATGTTGTGACCACTGGAAAGATCTGTGGAAGGAGAGATAGGGGAGGACAACGAGAGAAGATTCTTGACAGTCTTGTTGCTTGGCATGGAGTTGTGTCAGCACACGAACTGATACATGCTGCAGGAGATCGCAGATTGTGGCAAGGCATAATCACCCACGCCAGTCGGCAAGGCAGCTGATGATGATGCACCTGAATAGTTGGTCTTGCTATTCGTATTTGACCGAATCGTGAAAATCACTATTAGGTACAGCCCTAACTTTTACCCATTCCTAATTGTCTGTTTATTCACGTCAACTTTGTCCGCACAGCTGCTTTTGCATTTCTCACTATAATATACATTTCTCTTTACAGCTTCTCTTCAAGTCTATTTACAACTATTAACTAAAATTCTTTTTACAATTATAACCTACAATTCTAATTACAACTATAACATACAAGCCTACTTACAACTATGACCTACAAGTCTACTTACAACTATAATATATAACATACAATTATATTTACAACTATAACCTACAAGTCTACTTACAACAATGACCTACAATTCTACTTACAACTATAACCTACAAGTCTACTTACAACTATAACCTTCAATTCTACTTACAACTATAACCTACAATTTTAATTAAAACTATAATCTACAATTCTACATACAACTATAACCTACAAGTCTAAATACAACTATAACCTACAAGTCTACCTACAACTATAATCTACAATTCTACATACAACTATAACCTACAATTCTTGTTACAACTATAATCTACAATTCTACATACAACTATAACCTACAATTCTTGTTACAACTATAACCTACAAGTCTACCTACAACTATAACCTGCAATTCTACATACAACTATAACCTACAATTCTAATTACAACTATAACATACAAGCCTACTTACAACTATGACCTACAAGTCTACTTACAACTATAATATATAACATACAAGCCTACTTACAACTATGACCTACAAGTCTACTTACAACTATAATATATAACATACAATTATATTTACAACTATAACCTACAAGTCTACTTACAACAATGACCTACAATTCTACTTACAACTATAACCTACAAGTCTACCTACAACTATAACCTACAATTCTACATACAACTATAACCTACAATTCTTGTTACAACCATAACCTACAACTCTTTTTACAACTATAACCTACAATTCTACTTACTACTATAGCTTACAATTCTTCTTACAACTATAACTACAAGTCTGCCTACAACTATAACCTACAATTCTACTTACAACTATAATCTACAATTCTTGTTACAACTATAACCTACAACTCTTTTTACAACTATAACCTACAATTCTACTTACTACTATAACTTACAATTCTACTTACAACTATAACTACAAGTCTACCTACAACTATAACCTACAATTCTACTTACAACTATAATCTACAATTCTACTGTACCAGTTGACAGTTCTTACTTATTGCTGACCAAGCCATCCACCTTGAAGATAGTCTCATAGAGTGTCAGGTTCATCTGCAAAATGACATCTCCTTGAGGTCCATTTCTCTTAAATTTCAGGACATAGCCATCAACCAGCCCAACTGGCATGTTCTGTATAGCCCAGGCCAGCTGAGATGAGGATTGGCCTAACGGTTGAATCCTCAACTCCAACGTGGGATCTGCTGAAACAGGCAACGGGTAAAGACTTTTGAAACATTTTAGTTATGTCAATGTATCAACAAAAAAGAAAGCTTATGGCATTTGGCTAAAGAGCAGAACAGAAGAGGATAACATAACATACATGATAATTAGAAGAGAAGTAAATAGAACTATCAGAAAAGCAAAAAGAGATTCATGGGGAAAAGTTTGGAAGCAAGCTGGCTGAAGAAGAAAGAACAGCAGTGAAAAACTACTACCAAAAAAATCAAAAGCATGAGAAACAGGAATGAAGAATACAACCCAACAGAAATTATAAATGATGAAGTTGGCCAACCTTTAATAGAGCCTACCAAAATTTTAGCAAAGTGGAGTAGTTACTTTGAAGCATTACTTAGCTGCAATAAAACAGATAAAAGCAGGGAAGAACATAAAAACAACTCGGAACTAACAGCAGAGGAACTAGAACCAGGTATATTATTGGATGAAGTAAAATATGTCATTCGAACCGCCCCTAGACTAAAGGCGACAGGTATTGATGATCTACCAGCTGAGGCCATCAAGGCAGCAGGAGAAACGGGAGCAATATGGTTAAAGAGAATATTTCAGGTGGCATGGGAAAATCAAGAAACACCATCAGATTGGCAAACTGCTGTCATTGCCCTGCTGTGGAAAAATAAAGGAAGTAAGAGGGAATGTACTAATTACATAGGAATATCACTACTCAGTCACACTGGGAAAATGTATGTTAAGATCATCGAAAAAAGGTTGAGACCATTGATAGAGTATCAACTTTCAGAAGCACAGATGGGCTTTCGACGAAACAGAAGTTGCACAGATGCCATTTATACATTGAGACAACTATCAGAGAGGGCAATAGAACATGATAAGACATGTTTGTTGACATTCATAGATCAAGAAAAAGACTTCGATAGAGTCGACAGGAATATGTTGTGGGAATGTATGGGGAAAAAAGGAATCAGCAATCATCTCATTAATATTTGCAAAAGCCTGTACACACGTAGTGAATGCTGCATATGATCAAAGGCGGGGTTGTCAAGAACTTTTATAGTGAACTGGTGTGCGTCAGGGCTGTGTACTATCACCGCTTCTTTTTATAACATACATGGATACCATATGTAGAGAAACTAACTTTAATCATGAAGAAGATATTACAGAATTACTTTTCGCCGACGACCAGGTACTCATAGCAGAAAATACAGAATGCCTACAGAACCACCTGAATCAAATTAGTAACAAAGGGGAGGAATCTATATATATAAAAATCAATGTTTGTGTGTTTGTTTATGAGCTATAGACTCAGAAACTACTATACCGATTTAGCTGAAATTTTCAGGATATGTTTGTTTTGGTTCCGGATGTTCACCCATCATGGTTTGAAATTCAACCTGTCATTGTTAGAGATAGTTTGCGACAATTTAGGCAAAAATATTCGAAACTAATATTTAAATTTTTAGTGACATCTAATTATAGCCACGTTACGTGCGATCGATTTACCATTCATGCGCAGTAGTGACGCTCCATCGTCAACTTCCGCCCGCAAAATTACAAGAAGAATGGCCATCGGTTTTTAGTTGTGTTATCTATAAATATCTAAAAAGGTAAGAGCATTTATTTCAGTGACATCAGTCAGTATGTACATGTTTTTTGTTTACTTCAAACAAGTGTGCACCACTTCCTAAATCCCGCAATGATAAATATATACACACATTATCATTAATCATTATCTGTTATCTTTCTCATACTCATACGTACAACAGTTTTGGTTGGCTTTCTTCTGTTATTCAAAAGAATTATATAAATTTACATGACATTCCGTCTCAGGTCAGTGTTAGAATCTAGAAATATCTTAACAGGTAAGTGCATTTATTTCAGTGACATCAGTCATTATGTACATTTGTTTAACTTCAAATACATGTGTGGACCACTCCTTAAATCCCACAATGATAAATGTATGCACATTATCTGTTGGCTTTCTCATATTGTCTTATATACCGCCTTTTCTTACTATTTGCTGCCCAGTCTCTATGCATTTCCTCTTGAGTCAAAATAGATTGTTATCTCATGCTCATATTTTCATTTATTTCAGCGATACTTCAAGTCACATTTCATTCAGTGCATGAGGACGAACAAGCTATTGATGATCAGCGCTCACAAAATTTGCAGTTATGCTTCCCAAACGACAAGCGATTGGCCCATCTACACCTAAAACACGCAAGAGAAGGGCTTTAGTTGCTTCAGAAACAGACGAGCAACTTGAGGTAAGACTGGAAGCCATTCGAGTGCGCACTGCTGAAGCCTATTCGTCTCAGTCAGACCAGCAACGGAGGACAAGACTAGAAAACGTTCGAGTGCGCACTGCTGAAGCCAGATCGTCTCAGTCAGACGAGCATCAAGAACCAAGACTGGAAACCAATAAAGTACGCACTGCTCAAGTCCGTTTATCAAACACAGTCGAGCAACGGAAAGCAAGACTGGACACCGTTCGAATGCGCACTACTTTATCCAGGCGAACACTGCATGTTGATTTGATTCTTGGTGCATTCCATTACAACGGCAATTATGATTACAGTCTTCATCCACAGGTGCTTATTGGCAAAATGGATAAATTGTGCGTACATTGCAGTGCCTTCAAATTTAAGAATGACACGACGGGTATGTGCTGCGCTGGTGGAAAAGTTAAATTGCCAGTATTACATTCACCACCCGAACCATTATCATCATTGGTAGCAGGTGGAACAGGCCAGTCGACACATTTCTCGACAAACATAAGTAAATTTGCAAATATGTCAACAAAGGAGGCGATATGGCAGTCTTTGGAGTGGGACATGCAGCTGCATCTATCGATGAAATCAACCAATATCAGCTAGGGCGCTACATTAGTAGCATTGAAGCGGTATGGCGCATTTTGTCATTTCCAATTCATGAACGACATCCAGCAGTTGTTCATTTGGCAGTGCACCTTGACAATGGACAGTGCGTGTACTTCACTACAGAGAATGCACATGCACGAGCATTGTTACCACCGCCAACCACGTTAACTGATTTTTCTCATTGTGTAGAGATGATATGTTTGCAAAGACACTACTTTACTCTGACCTGCCAACATACTACACGTGGAATGCATCAGCTAAAAAGTTGCACGTTGCAAGCAAGGTCAAGCGGTTGACGGACATCCTAATTTATATTTTACTGATGTTTTAGGCCGTCCCTACACTGTTCATCCCAAAAATGCAGATTGCTTTTACTTGCGATTACTTTTAATCAACAAACGGGGACCGACATCCTTCCAGGACTTGAGAACAGTTTATGGTAAAGTATGTGCTACTTACTGTGAAGCTTGCAAAGTATTAAATCTTCTTGAAAATGATGCACATTGGGACACTTCACTCGCTGATGCTTCAAATACTGCTCAACCACAGCAAATACGCACATTATTTGCAATAAAATTAACAACTTGCTTCCCCATCCAATCCAAAAGAGCTTTGGGAGAAATACAAAGACTACATCAGTGAAGACATCCTACATCGCTGGCGTGAAACGGAGCAAGATCAGGACCTTCAATTCACACCAAATGTATATAATGAGGCATTGGTTTGCATTGAGGACATATGTTTGGCAATAACTAATAAAGCACTGGTTCAGCTGGGACTGGCTCCACCAGAACGATCTGCAAACAACCTTTTCGATCGTGAGTTGCAACGAGAGACACACTTTGATGTCACCGAATTAGGTACATTTGTTTAAACAAATCTTCCAAAATTGGTTCCAGAACAACATATAGCATATGACACAATTATGCATGCCATTACAAGACAACACTGAGGATTGTATTTCATAGATGCACCCGGAGGCACAGGCAAGACCTTTCTCATTTCGCTTATTTTGGCATCCATACGGTCACAAAATAATTTTGCACTGGCAATTGCATCTTCTGGATTTACCGCAACTCTTTTGGATGGTGGCCGAACAGAGCATTCAGCACTGAAGTTGCCTTTCAATATGCATATCACTGAGACACCAACATGCAATATCAACAATGATTCTGCAATGGGTAAAATACTCAAAGTATGTCAACTCATTATATGGGACAAAGTTTTCCCTAATATCTCACAGAATTACATAAATCATCAGTGGCTCAGTGAACGTGCTATCTTAGCAGCTAAAAACAAGGATGTGTATGCCATGAATCTGAACATTCAAGACAAATTACCTGGCGGTGTGACAACGTATAAGTCTCTCGGTACTGTAATGAATCAGGACTAAGTTGTTAATTATCCAACTGAGTTCTTAAATTCACTTGATTTGCCAGGCATGCCACCCCACGTTTTAACCTTGAAAATTGGCATGCCCATCATTCTTCTCAGAAACATCAATCCGCCACGTCTTTGCAATGGTACCAGGCTTTCAGTGAAAAAGCTGATGCTCAATATCATCGAAGGTACAATTTTAAATGGGAAATTTAAGGGCGAGAATATACTTTTGCCACGCATCCCAATGATTCCAACAGACATGCCATTTGTGTTCAGACGCTTGCAGTTTCCGGTGCGACTCGCCTTTGCAATGACCATAAACAAATCACAGGGACAATCGCTACAAATGTGTGGACTACATTTGGAACATCCATGCTTTTCACATGGACAGCTATATGTGGCCTGTTCACGCGTCGGAAAACCTTCTGATTTATTTGTGTACGCGCCAGACGGAAGAACAAAGAACAATGTTTACCCAAAATCACTTCAGTAAACACATTTATAACGTCATATTAAATTATCTGTTTTTTCCTAAAGAAATGAAATCGGCACAATGATCCAATATAATTACATTTTGTTAAAGCGATTTTCCTTTCAATTCACTTTCTATTGTAGCAACGCCTGCACGGTTGTTTACAGCAATTAGCAAATGTGTTCATTTCGTAATTATGGTGCATTTTTCCTGTCTTCATTGCTTTTCACTAGGGTAATTTTTCCAACTACTTCAATGAGGGAGAAAGTAGTAGGTGAACTGGGGGATGGGTGGTTAAAATAAACTGTTTACTGAGATAGATTTAAGTTACAGTAACTGCCTTACCCACTCAAAGTTTTATTAGCTGTGGTTTAGCTGTTGCACTGTACATCGCTAGCGTAAAGCGAAGACACATTTCTATGTTCTCTATTTTCCATTTAGCCAAATTATGCCACAGCAACGCGTGGCCGGGTACAGCTAGTATAATATGAAAATAAACACCACGAAGACAGAGACAATGATGATAGGAAGACATAAAGACAATTTAGAAATTAAATTAAAAAACAACACCCTGAGACAAACAGAGGAATTTAAGTATTTGGGAGCAATTTTTACATCTGACGGAAAACTTGACAGAGAAATTAGCTCCAGATGTGCCAAAACTAATCAAGTAATGGGTCAACTATCTCCCCTGTTGACACACAAGTAGATACCTCGGAGTACTAAAGTGAATCTTATCAGAACTATTTTTGGCCAACACTATGCTGTCAATGCCAAACGTGGACACTTACATCCTCCTATGAACGTAAAATTGTGACAACAGAGATAAAATGTCTTAGAAGAGCTGCAGGAGTTTTAAGGAATACGAAATCATGAAATCAGAAGAATGCTAGGAATAAAGCCAGACTTACAGGTCATCAAAGAACAACAAATGAAGTGGTTTGGAACCTAACAAGAATGCCCTGGTACTATCCGCCACAGCGAGCCACACTAAAACGTTACAACGGGTATAGAGCGAGTGGAAGACCAAGGAAAATATGGAGTGATGGCATTAAGAACAGCCTTACAGAAATGAACATCAGTCTTAATAGTGCTCTTGACAGAGCCCATCAACGAACATTACATCTCTCCCAGATACTTCTATGAGGTACAAGGTGGAAGAGAAGAAGAAGAAGAATGAATGAACAGTGTGTCTGACATCTGTTTCACTATATCAGCCTCATCATAAGAGAGTGTACTGGGTCAACCACACAAAGTCTCACTGACTCCCACATCCTCCACATGTCCTCAACTGTTCTACACTAGATCATGTATGGATAGCTCTTCTAGCCTTGTTCTGGGGGAGAATGTGAGGTCCACATGTAGCTGACCACTGTTGGAGGGAGTGCGTGGTCATTGGGTTAGTCATTGATCAGCCTGTCTAAGTGTGTGGATGTTCAAGTCCTATCGATGCATGGATTTGTGTGACAGTTTTAATAGAAGGTTTTATTCTGTGAGAGCTTGTTACCTGTTGGCTGAATCTGGTTGATCATCAGTTGTACTTAGGGATTCTATCAGAGTGATTCTAGAATGGACAGTTGTGCAGCCCATGTGTGTTGGGAGTCAGCACAGTTGTGTCTATGTGGCACGCTGGTTGACGGGGTGTCTTCAAATGCTACAGAAAGTTCTGTGGTGACTGTGTATGTTGGCCAGCATGGAATTGTGACAGGAAGGTATCAGGAAAGGTGGCAGCGAACTGGAGGTTAATCAGTAAGGAAGAGCCGTCAGAGGACTGTCACTGCACATCACGTTGGTGTATCTCCGCGATCGGGTGTGAGTCGCCTATAGCAGCCACCTTATACATAGTTTGCTGGAGTGTTTTTTCCATGTTCTGGAGACTGCCAATGTGAGTGTACATGGCAGGAATGATAGACAGACAGAGAGTCACTGATCACCAATTTATCTTCACTGCAATGTGTTCGTCTATAATAAATTAGAATGGTATATTCTATTACTGTGTTCACAGACAACGTTAGTGGTTAAGATAGGACATGATACTTGTGCCTGGGTTATTGTAGTGCTCCCTACTGTGTTGACTCTCCTTTACTCCAGTTACAGTCCCCATCAGCATGTGCCATGCCAGTGAGAGTTGGTGGCCATGTTTAGCTGAGGGAACCTTGTGGAGATGTGTGGAGGACTGACATTTACTAACATATTCCCTTGATACTTGGCAAGCAGGCAATGCAACTCCCGGACGCACACATCACTGATATGACAAGAGGGATATCTGCTCTGACACGCTGACCCTCCCCTGTTCTCTTGCTCAATGTTTTTAAGCTTACACACATGGAATCTGTCAGAGACTTACCACTTGAGGTGTCATCTGTCCCTCTAGGTGACCCTTGCTGTGATGCCTGACTTCTGGACAATTCTGAAAATACAAACAGTGATATATTAATGGCTCACTGCCTTCCCAAACACACAACTGCAGTCCCTTTTAGACATGGACAAAACATCCCAGCGAACTATGTCCCAGGTGCCTGCTATGGGCAACTCACACTTTTGTGATGTGCAGTGATAATCCCCTGGCAGTTCATTCTCTAAATGACCCCACCATCTTTGGGACTAAAGATAGATGCACCTCTTGGTGAGAACTCCAGGCTTCCCGCACCTCTTGGTGGAAACTCTAGGTTTCCCGCACCTCTTGGTGAAAACTCTAGGTCTCCCGCACCTCTGGGTGGAAACTCCAGGTTTAACGCACCTCTTGGTGGAAACTCTAGGTTGCCCGCACCTCTTGGTGGAAACTCTAGGTCTCCCGCACCTCTTGGTGGAAACTCTAGGTTTCCCCGCACCTCTTGGTGGAAACTCTAGGTCTCCCGCACCTCTTGGTGAAAACTCCAGGTTTCCCGCACCTCTTGGTGAAAACTCCAGGTCTCCTGCACCTCTTGGTGGAAACTCTAGGTCTCCCGCACCTCTTGGTGGAAACTCTAGGTCTCCTGCACCTCTTGGTGGAAACTCCAGGTCTCCGGCACCTCTTGGTGAAAACTCCAGGTCTCCCGCACCTCTTGGTGGAAACTCTAGGTCACCTGCACCTCTTGGTGGAAACTCTAGGTCCCCTGCACCTCTTGGTGAAAACTCTAGGTCTCCTGCACCTCTTGGTAAAAACTCTAGGTCTCCCGCATCTCTTGGTGGAAACTCTAGGTTTCCCGCATCTCTTGGTGGAAACTCTAGGTTTCCCGCACCTCTTGGTGGAAACTCCAGGTCTCCCGCACCTCTTGGTGGAAACTCTAGGTCTCCTGCACCTCTTGGTGGAAACTCCAGGTCTCCCGCACCTCTTGGTGGAAACTCTAGGTCTCCCGCACCTCTTGGTGGAAACTCTAGGTCTCCCACACCTCTTGGTGGAAACTCCAGGTCTCCCGCACCTCTTGGTGAAAACTCCAGGTCTCCCGCCTGCTACCCAGTAACTCCCTGAAGTATCGCTGTCTAACATCCCATTAGTCAGTCTCCGATACTCCCCTCCCCCCATCACAACTACACACTGATTAACACACAAGGTCCCCCAGCACCTTCCGTATCCTTACAGAAACCTGTCCACCATGTGTCCCATAACCACAACACTGTCGACTCCACAACACCTGGCTGACACAAGTCCATTCTAGACAATTACTGACAGAATTGCTAAGTCTATCTCACGACACACCTGGCTGATACAAGTCCATTCTAGACAATTACTGACAGAACTGCTAAGTCTATCTCACGATACACCTGGCTGATACAAGTCCATTCTAGACAATTACTGACAGAATTGCTAAGTCTATCTCACGATACACCTGGCTGACACAAGTCCATTCTAGACAATTACTGACAGAATTGCTAACTCTTTCTCAAGATACACCTGGCGGATACAAGTCCATTCTAGACAATTACTGACAGAATTGCTAAGTCTATCTCACGATACATCACAATCATCCCAGATGAGGAGCTCCAGCAGAATAAAAATATCTTGTTAAAATACTGTCCATTCAACAATTTGACTTGAGAAGCACGTCTATACAGTAAGATGACCTGGAAGCAACTGACATGGACACAGGTTCACGTTCAGCGGCGGGTTACACCTGGGTCTTACAATCCCCGTGGAGACCGTTGTTACCCGTTAATTTCAAGAAACTTTTGTCTCACGAGTCAAGTAGGATGAACTTTTTGCACTTGTCTCTGTCGTCATCATCATCATCATCTAGCGCCTTTACGACTAGTGTAGGTGACCACGCCTCTGACCTCTGGTACAACTGAACACCAAAGTGAGTTCAGAACACGACACACAGAGACAAATGCCACCCACCCAAAATCCAGAAGTTGACACTTACTCTGACTGGCGGTTGTCCAGAAGTTGACACTTACTCTGACTGGCTAGTTGTCCAGTAGTTGACACTTACACTGACTGGCTAGTTGTCCAGAAGTTGACACTTACACTGACTGGCTAGTTGTCCAGTAGTTGACACTTACACTGACTGGCGGTTGTCCAGAAGTTGACACTTACTCTGACTGGCTAGTTGTCCAGTAGTTGACACTTACACTGACTGGCTAGTTGTCCAGTAGTTGACACTTCCCAGAAGTTGACACTTACACTGACTGGCTAGTTGTCCAGAAGTTGACACTTACACTGACTGGCTAGTTGTCCAGTAGTTGACACTTACACTGACTGGCTAGTTGTCCAGAAGTTGACACTTACACTGACTGGCTAGTTGTCCAGAAGTTGACACTTACACTGACTGGCTAGTTGTCCAGAAGTTGACACTTACACTGACTGGCTAGTTGTTCAGTAGTTGACACTTACACTGACTGGCTAGTTGTCCAGTAGTTGTCACTTACACTGACTGGCTAGTTGTCCAGTAGTTGACACTTACTCTGACTGGCGGTTGTCCAGAAGTTGACACTTACTCTGACTGGCTATATGTTCAGAAGTTGACACTTACTCTGACTGACGGTTGTCCAGAAGTTGACACTTACTCTGACTGGCGGTTGCCCAGTAGTTGACACTTACTTTGACTGGCCAATTGTCTAGAATTTAGCTGTTTTTTACATTGATCCACCAGTTGTCTAGAGGCTATGAAATTCCTCACAATGACCTTCAAGTTGCAAACTTTTAAGTGTCATGTATATTAATTTGTAACTTGTCTAGAAACTATGTGTCTCTCACACTGACCTGCCAGTTGTCTAAAATGAAGCTGTCACTTACGTTCGGGGACTTGTCTGGTCTGTTGTCTGTCTCTGGAAGAAGCCCGGACTGGACGCCCATATCTGTTCTCTGATGGGGTCTGAAAAGTCAAGGATGCTGTCATCAACACACTACTGTCTGCGGCCAGGGCTTCCAGAATCACGTGATACCGCCTGGGGGAGATAACCATTAGATAGCATATTTAGTGTGTGCTGTTTTTAACTTGTTATCAAACACCTTTGATAGAGTCTGTGTAATGTAATGTCACACATTTAGTGGAAAATGTATAACGTGATGTTCACACATTTGATGGAGTCTATGTGAAGTGGTGTTCACACATTTGATGGAGTCTATGTGAAGTGGTGTTCACACATTTTATGGAGTCTGAGTGAGGTAGTGGTCATACATTTGATTGAGTCTGTGTAATGTAGTGTTCACACACATATGATGGAGTTTGTGGGATGTGGTGTTCAAACATTTGATGGAGTCTAAGTGAGGCAATGTTCACACATTGGATGGAGTCTAAGTGAGGCAATGTTCACACATTTGATGGAGTCTAAGTGAGGCAATGTTCACACATTTGATGGAGTCTAAGTGAGGCAATGTTCACACATTTGATGGAGTCTAAGTGAGGCAATGTTCACACATTGGATGGAGTCTAAGTGAGGCAATGTTTACACATTTGATGGAGTTTAAGTGAGGCAATGTTCACACATTGGATGGAGTCTAAGTGAGGCAATGTTCACACATTTGATGGAGTCTAAGTGAGGCAATGTTCACACATTTGATGGAGTCTAAGTGAGGCAATGTTCACACATTTGATGGAGTCTAAGTGAGGCAATGTTCACACATTTGATGGAGTCTAAGTGAGGCAATGTTCACACATTGGATGGAGTCTAAGTGAGGCAATGTTCACACATTTGATGGAGTCTAAGTGAGGCAATGTTCACACATTTGATGAAGTTTAAGTGAGGCGATGTTCACACATTTGATGGAGTCTAAGTGAGGCAATGCTCACACATTTGATGGAGTCTAAGTGAGGCAATGTTCACACATTTGATGGAGTCTAAGTGAGGCAATGTTCACACATTGGATGGAGTCTAAGTGAGGCAATGTTCACACATTTGATGGAGTCTAAGTGAGGCAATGTTCACACATTTGATGGAGTCTAAGTGAGGCAATGTTCACACATTTGATGGAGTCTAAGTGAGGCAATGTTCACACATTGGATGGAGTCTAAGTGAGGCAATGTTCACACATTTGATGGAGTCTAAGTGAGGCAATGTTCACACATTGGATGGAGTCTAAGTGAGGCAATGTTCACACATTTGATGGAGTCTAAGTGAGGCAATGTTCACACATCGGATGGAGTCTAAGTGAGGCAATGTTCACACATTTGATGGAGTCTAAGTGAGGCAATGTTCACACATTGGATGGAGTCTAAGTGAGGCAATGTTCACACATTTGATGGAGTTTAAGTGAGGCAATGTTCACACATTTGATGGAGTCTAAGTGAGGCAATGTTCACACATTTGATGGAGTCTAAGTGAGGCAATGTTCACACATTTGATGGAGTCTAAGTGAGGCAATGTTCACACATTTGATGGAGTCTAAGTGAGGCAATGTTCACACATTTGATGGAGTCTAAGTGAGGCAATGTTCACACATATGATGGAGTTTGTGTGAGGCAATGTTCACACATTTGATGGAGTCTAAGTGAGGCAATTCTCACACATTCACTTGCTACTGTGATGTTTGGAGAAATTCTGATTGTGAAAAAAATGAAGACACCAAATAAAAATAATTTTAAAACGAAATAAAGGATTGGGGCATACAGGAAACAAAAATGCAGAGGATTCGAAAAATGTTAAAGACAGATATCATCAAAATTAAATATTAAATGGCAAAACAGAAAATGGATCTGATCTTCATAGCACAGAAATATGTCATTACGAATCTTTTCTGGCAGTGATTGGAACTTTGTAAATGATGAAATAGCTAAATTCTGTTTATAATGAATACTAACGTTGAAAAAACATAAACAGGGAACATAAAATATCATATAAATTAAAGAACATTCATAAAACAGGTGCACAAATTCAATTATCTTGGAACATCTCACGTCAGACGGCTGACTGGACAGAGAGATTGCTCCCCAGAATTCAGCTAGTCAACAGCGTAACCTACCAACTTCTCCTAGTACCAAAACACCCAACAATTCCATTCAAAAACTAAAAGACAAATCATAAACACAATCTTTTTACTAATACTGTGTTACCAATGCCAAACTTGGGCATTAACAAAACAACAAGAGCAGGAACTAACAAAGTGTGAAAGGAGATGTTTGAGAAAAGCAGTCAACATAACAAAAAGAGAATAAAAGGAACAAAGATATCATGAGAATGGTGGAAGCAACACCTGTAATTAGATTTATTGAAAAAACAATGGCTGAAATGATGTGGCCACCTGGTCATAATAAAGACGGAAGGTACTGTACGACTTACACATTGGGGTACAGCTACTAGGGGTTGACTCAATGTGAGCTGAGTCACTGAGAGTTGAGTGACTGTAAGCTGAATTACTGGGTGGTGAGGGGCTGTGAGCCGAGAGCATGTGAGATGAATCACTGAACTGAGTGATTGTAAGCTGAGAGATGTAGGATAGAAAACAATGTTTGGCTTGGGTTGTAGCTGTTGCAGGCTGAGTGACTGTGAGCTGAGAGATGTAGGATAGAAGACAAGGTTTGACTTACTTGTTGGGTTGTAGCTGTTGAAGGCTGAGTGACTGTGAGCTGAGAGATGTAGGATAGAAGACAAGGTTTGACTTACTCGTTGGGTTGTAGCTGTTGAAGGCTGAGTGACTGTGAGCTGAGAGATGTAGGATAGAAGACAAGGTTTGACTTACTTGTTGGGTTGTAGCTGTTGCAGGCTGAGTGACTGTGAGCTGAGAGATGTAGGATAGAAAACAATGTTTGACTTGTTGGGTTGTAGCTGTTGAAGGCTGAGTGACTGTGAGCTGAGAGATGTAGGATAGAAGACAAGGTTTGACTTACTCGTTGGGTTGTAGCTGTTGAAGGCTGAGTGACTGTGACCTGAGAGATGTAGGATAGAAGACAAGGTTTGACTTACTTGTTGGGTTGTAGCTGTTGCAGGCTGAGTGACTGTGAGCTGAGAGATGTAGGATATAAGACAATGTTTGACTTACTTGTTGGGTTGTAGCTGTTGCAGGCTGAGTGACTGTGAGCTGAGAGATGTAGGATACAAGACAATGTTTGACTTGGGTTGTAGCTGTTAAAGGCTGAGTGACTGTGAGCTGAGAGATGTAGGATATAAGACAATGTTTGACTTACTTGTTGGGTTGTAGCTGTTGAAGGCTGAGTGACTGTGAGCTGAGAGATGTAGGATATAAGACAATGTTTGACTTGGGTTGTAGCTGTTGAAGGCTGAGTGACTGTGAGCTGAGAGATGTAGGATATAAGACAATGATTGACTTACTTGTTGGGTTGTAGCTGTTGCAGGCTGAGTGACTGTGAGCTGAGAGATGTAGGATAGAAGACAATATTTGACTTACTTGTTGGGTTGTAGCTGTTGCAGGCTGAGTGACTGTGAGCTGAGAGATGTAGGATATAAGACAATGTTTGACTTACTTGTTGGGTTGTAGCTGTTGCAGGCTGAGTGACTGTGAGCTGGGGGGCATTGTCTGAGTCAGCAAGTTGAATCCATCTGGGCCACTGTCTAAAACTCTCATCCTACAAAACAGAAAGTGGACATGTTGTTTGTGGTGACTGACCCAGCAGAGGAAAAACTGTTGACTAGAAATGTATTTGTCATGGGTTCATGCAGAAACAGCACCACAGCCCTGGCCGTATTTAGGATGTATGATGCTCCTTTGCAGCCATGGCCGTATTTAGGATGTATGATGCCCCTTTGCAGCCCTGGCCGTATTTAGGATGTATGATGCTCCTTTGCAGCCCTGGCCGTATTTAGGATGTATGATGCTCCTTTGCAGCCATGGCTGTATTTAGGATGTATGATGTTCCTTTGCAGCCATGGCCGTATTTAGGATGTATGATGTTCCTTTGCAGCCATGGCCGTATTTAGGATGTATGATGTTCCTTTGCAGCCCTGGCCGTATTTAGGATGTATGATGCTCCTTTGCAGCCCTGGCCGTATTTAGGATGTATGATGCTTCTTTGCAGCCATGGCTGTATTTAGGATGCATGATGCTCCTTTGCAGCCATGGCCGTATTTAGAATGTATGATGCTCCTTTGCAGCCATGGCTGTATTTAGGATGTATGATGCTCCTTTGCAGCCATGGCTGTATTTAGGATGTATGATGCCCCTTTGCAGCCATGGCCGTATTTAGGATGTATGATGCCCCTTTGCAGCCATGGCTGTATTTAGGATGTATGACACCTCTTTGCAGCCATTTATTTTACGCCCCCTTTTCCCTCTGCCAAACTTCAGCATTGCTGCTCATTTACAGACAACCAACTATCAGCTGCGTAGTGATTTAGTTTGGTTTCTAAACTGTACTGAAATATTTAAACTTAACTGAATACACAACAGGCAAGTCAAATGTGCAAACTGGATCCAAATGGAGGCAGTGAGCCACAATTGATGGAGACATTTTTGTAACGATAACAGCAACACAGATACTGACATATTTTAACAACTAGTTCTTTTTTACTACTCTGGGAATTTTAATGCCCATAAGAAATACTCCACCCTGTGCAGCTGCACATGTTACACATAGCTTAAATATGGACATCATGATAACGCTCAGGGTAAACTCAAAAATGCTCAGTCTCTCTCAGCTGATGTGTTAAGGGGGTGGAAAATGCTGAGAAGAATAAGACAAAGTTAAGTGGATGGCGGCGATACCTAGACATGAACTAGAGCCAGTGTTCACAGCTGTATAGGGAACGTGCAGGTGAGTGAGTTGGAAGTTTATTACAGCCAAGCAGCAGTGTGGAGATGGCACATGGTTATGATGATTATATTAACACAACACAAATATGGAACACAAGCTAGGTTTACTAAACATGTCCCCAGAGGCAGCAGACAGGTGCTTGTTTAGAAGGAAAATCTACAGTGTCATGGGTATGTTAGGGATTTTTTGTTTTCTGGCCGTAAACAATGGTGGGCGGTACCAGCACCTTTATTTTCTAGGAAGAAAGCTCTGATTAGAGTAGCAGTCATGTTCACATAAATTATATTCTGTTCACCCTTCAGGGTTATAAATTGTTTATCTATATCACATGAAATTAAGGTAAAACAAATCCTGAGATACTGAGTGTTACAAGACTACTCACTAAAACAGTATGGACAAGATAAATAAATGTATGGGAGATATCAGGAGAAAATGTATAATCGAGGTATTAGTTTTACGTAGGCAAATATGAGGCAAGAGAGGCAGAGAACTACAGAGGCACATGTATGTCAATAATCTAAACCACTGAGGCATTAATGCTAAAATAAGAAAATGGCAATGACAACAAAGATCAAGTTTGTTGGCCATACTCACTTGTAATTTTTCACCAGGTTTGGTTCAACATTGACAAGCGTCCAATCAATTCTTGTGTTGTGGGCTCTTACCTCATTGGCTTCTAATTCTAAAACTGGATTAGTTGTATCTGGCAACAAATACTTTGAATTTGTAATAATTCTCTGTTGACTAAAAAAAACTAATTTTCTTTAAACAATCTTTAAAAAAAATTGAAACAAATATTACAATGCTGAGCAGCAGAACAAGCAGTCATTAGCAAATGTGTTGGTCCAAAAGTGTTATCTCACTCTAGTGTTCCTACATAGCAGCTTGCTTGCGAGCTAGGGATATTTCCAGTTCTAATGTTCCTCTGTCCCGTAATGTCTGATTGTCTATTATCTAGCTTGGGATATTTCCAGTTCTGTTGTTCCTCTGTCACATAATGTCTGATTGTCTATTATCTAGCTTGGGATATTTCCAGTTCTAATGTTTCTCTGTCCCGTAATGTCTGATTGTCTATTATCTAGCTTGGGATATTTCCAGTTCTAATGTTTCTCTGTCCCGTAATGTCTGATTGTCTATTATCTAGCTAGGGATATTTCCAGTTCTAATGTTTCTCTGTCACGTAATGTCTGATTGTCTATTATCTAGCTAGGGATATTTCCAGTTCTAATGTTTCTCTGTCCCGTAATGTCTGATTGTCTATTATCTAGCTAGGGATATTTCCAGTTCTAAAGTTTCTCTGTCCCGTAATGTCTGATTGTCTATTATCTAGCTAGGGATATTTCCAGTTCTGTTGTTCCTCTGTCACATAATGTCCGATTGTCTATTATCTAGCTAGGGATATTTCCAGTTCTGTTGTTCCTCTGTCCCATAATGTCTGATTGTCTATTATCTAGCTAGGGATATTTCCAGTTCTAATGTTTCTCTGTCCCGTAATGTCTGATTGTCTATTATCTAGCTAGGGATATTTCCAGTTCTGTTGTTCCTCTGTCACATAATGTCCGATTGTCTATTATCTAGCTAGGGATATTTCCAGTTCTGTTGTTCCTCTGTCCCATAATGTCTGATTGTCTATTATCTAGCTTGGGATATTTCCAGTTCTGTTGTTCCTCTGTCCCAGAATGTTCGGTTGTCTATTATCTAGCTAGGAATATTTCCAGTTCTGTTGTTCCTCTGTCCCAGAATGTCCGGTTGTCTATTATCTAGCTAGGGATATTTCCAGTTCTGTTGTTCCTCTGTCCCAGAATGTCCGGTTGTCTATTATCTAGCTAGGGATATTTCCAGTTCTGGTGTTCCTCTGTCCCATAATGTCCAGTTGTCTATTATCAAAATCACATGAAAATAAGAGAAATGTATCATCAAGTCAACCAGCCAGCAAGTTAGACCAAGAAGCCACAAGAAACAATGAGAAGTTTGACACACAACTGTAAAGATTACTTGGAGAAAACTTACTTTAAAAGATATTGAATAATTGGCCACACAAGTTCATTTTTTGTGGTTAGCTAGATTTTATTATCTCTAAAAGGCAATATTACCGAGGTGCATAAATTAAGTCGGCATATGTGACTTGGGCTTTTCAAAGCATTGTAATTCCATGACACACAAGTATGTGACAGGCATTGCAAAGCATGTGGAGTAATTCTATGATACACATGTATGTGATTTATGTATTGCAAAGCGCTTAGTGTAATTCTATGATACACACGAACGTGACCTGGGCATTGTTACAAAGCGTGACATGTAATTCTATAATACACATGTACGTGACCTTGGCATTGTTACAAAGTGTGACATGTGATTCCATGATACACACGTACATCACCTTGGCATTGTTACAAAGCGTGACATGTGATTCCATGATACACACGTACATCACCTTGGCATTGCTACAAAGCATGACATGTAATTCCATGATACACATGTATGTGACCTTGGCATTGTTACAAAGCATGACATGTAATTCCATGATACACATGTATGTGACCTTGGCATTGTCACAAAGCATGACATGTAATTCCATGATACACATGTACGTGACCTTGGCATTGTTACAAAGCATGACATGTAATTCCATGATTCACACGTATGTGACCTTGGCATCATGACATGTAATTCCATGATACACATGAACGTGACCCTGGCGTTGTTACAAAACATGACAGGTAATTCCATGATACACAAACAATTTGCTTTCAGTTGCAGGTGATCTAACAGCAACCCCTCTTTGTGTTTATTTATACAACAGTATTGACAGCTGACTGTTCAGAAGCAATGGCAAACTACTGAATATTTAATTGTATGGCGAAAGCCTAACAGCAAAAAACAAATAAACAAACCAGTGTTGGGATTGGTTCTGCAATATCCCGTAAAAGACAGGCACATATTTATTGTTTATATTAGCAGGAACATTTCATGAATCCAGCCTTCCCCTCACCTTTATTTATCTAGCCTTCCCCTCACCTTCATGTATCTAGCCTTCCCCTCACCTTCATGTATCTAGCCTTCCCCTCACCTTCATGTATCTAGCCTTCCCCTCACCTTCATGTATCCAGCCTTCCCCTCACCTTTATGTATCTAGCCTTCCCCTCACCTTCATGTATCTAGCCTTCCCCTCACCTTCATGTATCCAGCCTTCCCCTCACCTTTATTTATCTAGCCTTCTCCTCACCTTCATGTATCCAGCCTTCCCCTCACCTTTATTTATCAAGCCTTCCCCTCACCTTCATGTATCTTGCCTTCCCCTCACCTTCATGTATCTAGCCTTCCCCTCACCTTCATGTATCTAGCCTTCCCCTCACCTTCATGTATCTAGCCTTCCCCTCACCTTCATGTATCTAGCCTTCCCCTCACCTTCATGTATCTAGCCTTCCCCTCACCTTCATGTATCTAGCCTTCCCCTCACCTTCATGTATCCAGCCTTCCCCTCACCTTCATGTATCCAGCCTTCCCCTCACCTTCATGTATCCAGCCTTCCCCTCACCTTCATGTATCCAGCCTTCCCCTCACCTTCATGTATCCAGCCTTCCCCTCACCTTCATGTATCTAGCCTTCCCCTCACCTTCATGTATCTAGCCTTCCCCTCACCTTCATGTAGCTAGCCTTCCCCTCACCTTCATGTATCTAGCCTTCCCCTCACCTTCATGTGTCTAGCCTTCCCCTCACCTTCATGTATCCAGCCTTCCCCTCACCTTCATGTATCCAGCCTTCCCCTCACCTTCATGTATCCAGCCTTCCCCTCACCTTTATGTATCTAGCCTTCCCCTCACCTTCATGTATCTAGCCTTCCCCTCACCTTCATGTATCCAGCCTTCCCCTCACCTTCATGTGTCTAGCCTTCCCCTCACCTTCATGTATCCAGCCTTCCCCTCACCTTTATGTATCTAGCCTTCCCCTCACCTTCATGTATCCAGCCTTCCCCTCACCTTCATGTGTCTAGCCTTCCCCTCACCTTTGTGTGTCTAGCCTTCCCCTCACCTTCATGTATCCAGCCTTCCCCTCACCTTCATGTATCTAGCCTTCCCCTCACCTTCATGTATCTAGCCTTCCCCTCACCTTCATGTATCCAGCCTTCCCCTCACCTTCATGTATCAGCCTTCCCCTCACCTTCATGTATCCAGCCTTCCCCTCACCTTCATGTATCTAGCCTTCCCCTCACCTTCATGTATCCAGCCTTCCCCTCACCTTTATGTATCTAGCCTTCCCCTCACCTTTATCAATTTGTGAGCTTTTATTCAAATCTGAGAAGCCCCATCAAGACAGATTTCTTCTTACAACAACAAAAGTTTACCAGTGAACTAAACTGACAGAGAGTTATAGTGAACTAAACTGACAGAGTGTTATAGTGAACTAAACTGACAGTGTGTTATAGTGAACTAAACTGACAGAGAGTTATAGTGAACTAAACTGACAGAGTGTTATAGTGAACTAAACTGACAGAGTGTTATGGTGAACTAAACTGACAGTGTGTTTTAGTGAACTAAACTGACAGTGTTATAGTGAACTAAACTGACAGAGTGTTATAGTGAACTAAACTGACAGAGTGTTGTAGTGAACTAAACTGATAGAGTGTTATAGTGAAATAAACTGACAGAGTGTTATAGTGAACTAAACTGACAGTGTTATAGTGAACTAAACTGACAGTGTTATAGTGAACTAAACTGACAGTGTGTTTTAGTGAACTAAACTGACAGTGTTATAGTGAACTAAACTGACAGAGTGTTGTAGTGAACTAAACTGATAGAGTGTTATAGTGAAATAAACTGACAGAGTGTTATAGTGAACTAAACTGACAGAGTGTTATAGTGAACTAAACTGACAGAGTGTTATAGTGAACTAAACTGACAGAGTGTTATAGTGAACTAAACTGACAGAGAGTTATAGTTAACAAAACTGACAGAGTGTTATAGGGAACTAAACTGACAGAGTGTTATAGTGAACTAAACTGACAGAGAGTTATAGTGAACTTAACTGACAGAGAGTTCTAAAGCATAATATGAGAATAACAAAGATGATCAGGAACTTCTGGTGATAACATGAACACATTATATTAAAATAAACAGTGTGATTTGTCTATTTCAGTGAAAAGAATTCAGTCTTTCTTGTAATATTTTGATGAGCTCTGTAGTAACACAGTTGCAGCGTAACAGTGAAATATGCCTGGCAATTAGTTGTGCAATGTTTAGTTTGTGGTTTCATTACTGACATTCACTGTGGAAAAAAAATAATTTTGAATTTATTTTTTTGACAATAATGCTCCTGAAATGATCTAATGTGTTTTCAAAATTATGAATATGTACTCAACATCCTGTTGCTTACCTGGTGTGGCATCAGCAGGATCGGTCTGAAAGGATACCTCAGACTCCACTAAAGAACCCTGCGCCCCGTTGGCTTTCACGTTGACAAAAAATTTTGTGTTTGGATTGAGGGATTGGATTGTTATATACCTGGAATTATATCAATAATTAAACACAGTGTATTTTTCCCTCAGGTATGTTACAATTAGTATGATTTTCTGTGTTTCGAAATACAGGCATTTTTTTTTAGCAATCCCAGGGCTTGTCATTAACATTTAGTTGCTGCTGGTGTTTATGAATACCTGATGAAAGATGCAAGAATGAAATGACACATGAAAGAAGCAGAATGACAAGAGCAAAATCTTAGATGGGCCCAAGTGCACAATTATTAACCCTCTGAAAAGAAGTTTGCTCATTTGTTCAACAAAGAATATGCAGACAGCATTACAGATACACTGAAGATGGTGACAATACAACACAGTAAGCTACCACAGCACAGTATCTGGCATTTCTGCCTGCCAGCCTAGGGGTCAAAGGTCAGAATCTAGAACTCCACATCTGTGAAAGAGCGGCAAGTGAGGCTGTGGTCTCTAGGTTCTGGTTCTCCATACACACATACAGAGACTAGCTGAGATTAGGTCTATGCTCTTTATGTTTTCTACACAGACTGTAGATATTTCCATTTCAATAGGCTCTAACAGTTTGTGGATAATTCTGCATCAACATGCTCTAACAGACTGTACATATTTCTGCATCAACATGTTCTAACAGACTGTACATATTTCTACATCAACATGCTCTATAGACTGTACATATTTCTGCATCAACATGCTCTAACAGACTGTACACATTTCTACATCAACATGCTCTAACAGACTGTACATATTTCTGCATCAACATGCTATAATAGACTGTACATATTTTTACATCAGCATGTTCTAACAGACTGTACACATTTCTACATCAACATGTTCTAACAGACTGTACATATTTCTACATCAACATGTTCTAACAGACTGTACATATTTCTACATCAACATGTTCTAACAGACTGTACATATTTCTACATCAACATGTTCTAACAGACTGTACATATTTCTGCATCAACATGTTCTAACAGACTGTACATATTTCTACATCAACATGTTCTAACAGACTGTACATATTTCTACATCAACATGCTCTAACAGACTGTACATATTTCTACATCAACATGCTCTAACAGACTGTACATATTTCTACATCAACATGTTCTAACAGACTGTACATATTTCTACATCAACATGCTCTAACAGACTGTACATATTACTGAATCAACAGACTCTTGGCCAGTCCCAAAATGGTATGCCTAATGATAAATGCAGTCTAAAATGTTATCACCCATTGGGTGATATCAAGGATGTTATCATGAATATAATCAGAGATAAACGAAAGAAAGAAGTGGAGAGCAGCTTTCAGCTCGGCTCATAATGATCTATAAACCAAGGACACAACTGACCTCTGGTTCTCTGGCAGAGTCTGCTCCAGAAGTGTATTTCCCCTCTCTCCTTTGATGGTCACTAAAAAGTTTTTGATGTTCTCAAGAGGCCCCTGGTCAACTGTCCATCTTATATCAACACTGTTGACAACAGTAAATTATTGAATTGTTATTATTTTCTAACAAGTAGATGTGTAGATTCTATGTTTATATTAAATTTACAAACTCTTCACACACTGCCAGCCAGAATTTGGGGACTGATATTTCTGAACTTTTTGAACTAGCTCTTGTTTGCAAGTCAATTTTGGAACTAGCTCCTGTCTGCTAGTCAATTTTGGAACTAGCTCCTGTCTGCAAGTCAATTTTAGAACTAGCTCTTGTCTGCAAGTCAATTTTAGAACTAGCTCTTGTCTGCAAGTCAATTTTAGAACTAGCTCTTGTCTGCAAGTCAATTTTGGACCTAGCTCTTGTCTGCAAGTCAATTTTGGACCTAGCTCTTGTCTGCAAGTCAATTTTGGACCTAGCTCCTGTCTGCAAGTCAATTTTGGAACTAGCTTTTGTCTGCTAGTCAATTTTGGAACTAGCTCCTGTCTGCTAGTCAATTTTGGAACTAGCTCCTGTCTGCAAATCAATTTTGGAACTAGCTCTTGTCTGCTAGTCAATTTCGGAACTAGCTCCTGTCTGCTAGTCAATTTTGGAACTATCTCCTGTCTGCAAGTCAATTTTGGAACTAGCTCTTGTCTGCTAGTCAATTTTGGAACTAGCTCCTGTCTGCAAGTCAATTTTGGACCTAGCTCTTGTTTGCAAGTCAATTTTGGACCTAGCTCTTGTCTACAAGTCAATTTTGGACCTAGCTCTTGTCTGCAAGTCAATTTTGGAACGAGCTCTTGAATACAAGTCAATTTTGGAACTAGCTCTTGTCTGCTAGTCAATTTTGGAACTACCTCTTGTCTGCTAGTCAATTTTAGAACTAGCTCTTGTCTGCAAGTCAATTTTGGAACTAGCTCCTGTCTGCTAGTCAATTTTGGACCTAGCTCTTGTCTGCAAGTCAATTTTGGACCTAGCTCTTGTCTGCAAGTCAATTTTGGACCTAGCTCTTGTCTGCAAGTCAATTTTGAAACTAGGTCTTGTCTGCAAGTCAATTTTGGACCTAGCTCTTGTTTGCAAGTCAATTTTGGACCTAGCTCTTGTCTACAAGTCAATTTTGGACCTAGCTCTTGTCTGCAAGTCAATTTTGGAACTAGCTCTTGAATACAAGTCAATTTTGGAACTAGCTCTTGTCTGCTAGTCAATTTTGGAACTACCTCTTGTCTGCTAGTCAATTTTAGAACTAGCTCTTGTCTGCAAGTCAATTTTGGAACTAGCTCCTGTCTGCTAGTCAATTTTGGACCTAGCTCTTGTCTGCAAGTCAATTTTGGACCTAGCTCTTGTCTGCAAGTCAATTTTGGACCTAGCTCTTGTCTGCAAGTCAATTTTGAAACTAGGTCTTGTCTGCAAGTCAATTTTGGACCTAGCTCTTGTCTGCAAGTCAATTTTGGACCTAGCTCTTGTCTGCAAGTCAATTTTGGAACTAGCTCTTGTCTGCAAGTCAATTTTGGACCTAGCTCTTGTCTGCAAGTCAATTTTGGACCTAGCTCTTGTCTGCAAGTCAATTTTGGAACTAGCTCTTGTCTGCAAGTCAATTGTGGACCTAGCTCTTGTCTGCGAGTCCATCGTGGAACAATAAATAATAATCTTTTCAAGTCTAATGCTTTAGATTTCAACTACCATGTGGTAGACCTAAAAGATGAGAATGTTATATGATGTTATAACAATAAACCTCACTGCACATTGGGCATTCCCATGTTTGTTCAATCCTCCAAAGCAGGAGCCACTCTAAGATACTTCTACTAATTGTTCCCACAAGTGGTTGGTTATAATGTCTCCTATCTTAGCCTTGAAGGCGGCACAGACGTGCTTCACCCTGCTTTACTCTCATGTCACACAACCATGTTAGTGTCAGAGATTCGTCATAAACTACTAGACCAGTACGATGCCTTTATGATGCCTTAGAAGAATACTTGGTATTAGGTGACAGGACAAGATCACAAATACACAGGTATTGGAAAGAGCAGGTATTACAACAGTCTTCTCAATGCTCAGTCTATGAAGGCTCAGGTGGCTGGGTTACACCTGGATAACAGAGGATGGCAGTCCCCAAGCACATCCTCCATGGTAGAAGATCTAGAAGATGTCAAGGCTGACTTCTACTACGATATAAAGATGGGTGTAAGTGAGACATGAATGATACAGGTATTGAGGTGGACTCAAGAGACAAAAATTCAATGGATCATGTTGTGTGGAGAGGACACATCAGGAAGGGAGTGAGAATGAAGAAAGAAATGATTGCAGAAAGGATGAGAGCTGAGCAACAGCGAAGAAACAGACTAAATACAAAAGTCGACAACAAAGGTCAAGGACTTCTCTTAATGTGGCTGTGAGTTTCATGTCTCCTCATAGTGCAATATAACACTATCATCTGGAAAGGCAGAAGGTACCAATAAAGAATTTTTTTTAATGTCTACTACGATTTATCTATGACAAACCTAGTTATGTATTTGTCCAGTTAGTACGTAAACTAATCACCATGATGAAACTGTGTATGGAAGACACTTATAACAAAGTAAGAAAAAAAGGCAGAAAATTAGATCATTTTCAAATAACATCTGGTTTAAAGCAAGGTGATGCTTTGTCCCCACTTCTTTTCAACTTGGCCCTGGAGAAAATTATAAGAAAATTTACAGAAGAGTGCACTATGGGAGAAACTACAAGATTACTTGGTTTTGCTGATGACATTAATATCGTTGGAGAGAATGAACTCGAGGCTGTAAAAACACTGGCTCTCTTAGAAGACAAAGCTCACAAACTATGATTAGTTGTCCACCAAGGTCAGACAGACTAAATGATAATAACAAGACAGGGAAAGGATATAAACTTCCACAACATACAATTCGATAATATGAAAATCAACAGAACAGAAACATATAAGTACTTGGGTGTATTACCTGGTAATACATTTGTCCTGTCAGTATATATAGTCTGATTTATCTGTGACAAACCTAGCAATACATTTGTCTTGTTAGTTAGTATAGTATGATTTATCTGTTACAAACCTGGTAATACATTTGTCCTGTTAGTAAGTATAGTATTATTTATTTGTGACAAATCTAGTAATACATTTGTCCTGTCAATAAGTATAGTCTGATTTATCTGTGACAAACCTAGTTATACATTTGTCCTGTTAGTAAGTATAGTATGATTTATCTGTGACAAACCTGGTAATACATTTGGCCTGTTGTTTGATAAGTATGATCTATCTGTGACAAACCTGGTAATACGTTTGGCCTGTTAGTTAGTATAGTATGATTTATCTGTGACAAACCTGGTAATAAATTTGTCCTGTTAGTAAGTATAGCATGATCTATCTATGACAAACCTGGTAATACTTTGTCCTGTTAGTAAGTATAGCATGATCTATCTATGACAAACCTGGTAATACTTTGTCCTGTTAGTAAGTATAGCATGATCTATCTATGACAAACCTGGTAATACTTTGTCCTGTTAGTAAGTATAGTATGATCTATCTGTGACAAAGCTGGTAATACTTTGTCCTGTTAGTAAGTATAGCATGATCTATCTGTGACAAAGCTGGTAATACTTTGTCCTGTTAGTAAGTATAGCCTGATCTATCTGTGACAAACCTGGTAATACTTTGTCCTGTTAGTAAGTATAGTATGATCTATCTGTGACAAACCTGGTAATACATTTGTCCTCTTAGTAAGTATAGTATGATCTATCTGTGACAAACCTGGTAATACATTTGTCCTGTTAGTAAGTATAGCATGATCTATCTGTGACAAAGCTGGTAATACTTTGTCCTGTTAGTAAGTATAGCATGATCTATCTGTGACAAACCTGGTAATACATTTGTCCTGTTAGTAAGTATAGTATGATCTATCTGTGACAAACCTGGTAATACATTTGTCCTGTTAGTAAGTATAGTATGATCTATCTGTGACAAACCTGGTAATACTTTGTCCTGTTAGTAAGTATAGCATGATCTATCTGTGACAAAGCTAGTAATACTTTGTCCTGTTAGTAAGTATAGCATGATCTATCTGTGACAAACCTGGTAATACATTTGTCCTGTTAGTAAGTATAGTATGATCTATCTGTGACAAACCTGGTAATACATTTTTCCTGTTAGTAAATATAGCATGATCTATCTGTGACAAACCTGGTAATACTTTGTCCTGTTAGTAAGTATAGCATGATCTATCTGTGACAAACCTGGTAATACTTTGTCCTGTTAGTAAGTATAGCATGATCTATCTGTGACAAAGCTGGTAATACTTTGTCCTGTTAGTAAGTATAGCATGATCTATCTGTGACAAACCTGGTAATACATTTGTCATGTTAGTAAGTATAGCATGATCTATCTGTGACAAAGCTAGTGACAAGTTATCTTGTTAGTATTTCAACTATTTATCTATGACAGATCTAGTGTTAAAGTTCTATGACAGATCTAGTGTTAAAGTTCTTCTTTCTACCTGTATGGGGTTTTAGTTGGAATTTTTGTGGTCATAACATAATCATGGTTCTCTGGCTCTTCCACTGGAACAAACAAAAGGAAAGCGTAAGAAAAATACAACTGTACATTCTCTTTACAATCTCTTATCATTTCCTGCACTCCACACATCTGCATTGCTACTAAATTGAAAATGTGTGTAGTTTTTGTTTGTCTGTTGTTAGTTGAACTGAACATGTAAAAACAAATGCACTATTCTTTATATTATTTTCCTCCAGTGCCCAGGTGAAGTGTTGGAGGGAATTGTGTAGATCCTACATCAGCCTTTTCTATTTTGCTGTTTGAGTTAGTCTTCATTGTCTTTTGTCTTCTTCTGTGATCTCTGGTCATGTAATCTCTAGTCATGTGATCTCTAGTCATGTGATCACTGGTCATGCAATCTCTGGTCACCTGTTTAATCCACTAGGTTCATAACTGGGATGTCGATTTGGGGTCTTTTTGGATTTCTCAAAGCCTAACTGTCAGGTCTGCTGAGTGTGGCCATATGTCACTTCGCAGCCCTGCCAGGAGAGGACAATCTTGCATGACATGTTCAAGGGTCAGTGTAGCACAGCTCTCTTCTTTGTTGCGTATGTTGATGTCACACACAGGTTTATCTTTAGATTTGCTACAGGACTGGAAGATTATAGACGAGATGAAAGATGGTCATGTCGATAGTAATGGTGATGATGATGATGTCTTGCTTGCTGCAGGCTTCTCACATGACTCAGATGCTTGTTTAATAAAATGTCTGGAAACAACAGTTCTTGTCTATACTGTCTTTATTGTCGTACTTCAGCAATGACACAATTAACATCAATGATATTTAGAATAGCACTCTGTTCTCTCTATGGCTAAATACTCGTAGGTTCGCGTTGTGTTCTTCTTCTCTAGTTACTTTGGTTCTAGTGTTTGTAACTGCCACCTGGCCTCTAGTGCTGTCTGGTACTAACGGATTGATCGTCGACTCTTAAACATCTGAATAGTGTTCCTAACTAATGTGTCGCTGTTAAGCATGGATCCATGTATCTTTTTTGCCGTCTCTGTAGTTCGTTGTCTCGTTTCATGTCTGCTCTCTAGTGACTGTCTTCGATTCTCCATATGACTGGCTTCTCTCCTTCTAGTGTTGGCATTTCCACAACTGTGAGGATCATTGAGACTAGTCACTCGTCCTCTGAGTCTCAACGACTGAAGGCATTCTTCGAGGGTCAATATGACTGGTCCCTCCTTTCTTGAGTCTTGTGGACTGAAAAATTGCTCTGAGGGTCAATATTACTAGTCCCTCCACTTTCTAAGGCTAATAGACTGAAAGCTGCTTAAATGGATTCTTACCCATTAATTATAATTGGATGCTGGAATGCTACTTATTTGTTTTCTTCTCACTTTTTCTGCTTTTAGAATATTCTAGTATGTCTCAACTTGTTTGAAATGTACGTTCTCACGTGGGATTTTGCTAATTATATCTCAATTGCATTAGACTTCATCATCTTTTTCTACGCAAATATAGTAGTTAAACTGACAATTGACATCATAGAAGCTTCTAGAAAACAAGTACAATTGTGTTTGCTTTGATAGGGCACGACAACAATGACGTCAAATACTATATACAAAATATTTTTGCCAAGACTTGACATTCTTCCCCTCAAGTAATACACAATATTCTATCTCCTAACAAACAAGTGATAACGTCAATATTTAGTTTTGGGCTGGAAATGAAAGTTACCAAAACTTGTTGACCTTGGTACATCCCAGCTCTGAGTAATAATCTAACTCCTAACAAACAAGCAATGACCCTTCTCTGTTACATCAGTACAGAATGAAGTCACTGGCAGGTAGCTGTGTGTCTCATACATAGTTTATATGAGTGTTTGCTGAGTCTAACAATATGATATAAAGTTACAAAGTCTAGAGAGTGGCTATTTCTGGCTAGTTGAAGCTAGTTGACTGACGGCAAAATCTAAGAGATGCTTGGTGGTGAACTGATATTACCTATGGTGACCAAAACTCACAGAATGATATTACCTGTGGTGACCAAAACTCACAATAAAATATTACCCATGGTGACTAAAACTCATTGTATGTATTACCTGTGGTGACCAAAGCTCACAATATGATATTACCTGTTGTGATTAAAACTCACAGTATGTTTTTACCCTTGGTGACCAAAACTCACAGTATGATATTACCTGTGGTGACCAAAACTCACAGTATGATATTACCTGTGGTGACCAAACCTTACAGTATGTTATTACCCATGGTGACCAAAACTCACAGTATTATATTACCTGTGGTGACCAAAACTCACAGTATGATATTACCCATGGTGACCAAACCTCACAGTATGATGTTACCCGTGGTGACCAAAACTCACAGTATGATATTACCCATGGTGACCAAAACTCACAGTATGATATTACCCATGGTGACCAAACCTCACAGTATGATATTACCCGTGGTGACCAAAACTCACAGAATGATATTTCCCGTGGTGACCAAAACTCACAATATCATTTTACCCATGGTGACTAAAACTCATCGTATGATATTACCTATGGTGACCAAAACTCACAATATGATATTACCTGTGGTGATTAAAACTCACAGAATAATATTACCCGTGGTGACCACAAACTAACAATATGATATTACCTGTGGTGACCAAAACTCATAATATGATATTACCTGTGGTGACCAAAGCTCATAATATGATATGACCCATGGTGACCAAAACTCACAGTATGATATTACCCATGGTGACCAAAGCTCACAGTATGATATTACCCATGGTGACCAAAGCTCACAGTATGATATTACCTGTGGTGACCAAGACTCACAATATTTTATTACTCATGGTGACCAAAACACACAGTATGATATTTCCTGTGGTGACCAAAACTCACAATATGATATTACCTGTGGTGATTAAAACTCACAGTATGATATTTCCTGTGGTGACCAAAAACTCACAGTATGATATTACCTTCGGTGACCAAAACTCACAGTATGATATTTTCTGTGGTGACCAAAAACTCACAATTTGATATTACCCATGGTGACCAAAACTCACAGTATGAAATTTCCTGTGGGACAAAAACTCACAACATGATATTACCTGTGGTGAATAAAACCCACAGAATGATATTACCTGTGGTGACCAAAACTCAAATATGATATTACCTGTGGTGACCGCAAACTCAAAGCCTGTGGTGACAAAAAAGAGTGGTTGCTCTGTTGTGGTTCCGTCAGTTGCTGGTCTAGTAGGCAAAGTTTTCGGAGCTGCTGTTGGTGGTGTTCTTCTTGTTGGTTGTGTTGTTGCTCCAATCTGTGGTGATGAGGTGTCAGAATGTGTGGAAACTGGAGAGCCGTACTGTCCAGGGCCTGCTGTGGTAAAGTTGGCAATGGCAGTGAGCAACTCAGCTCCATGTCTGGCCAGTGCGTCGACAATGACCTGGTAGTTTCTGAAAATTGTCAGGTGAAATTATATATTCAATTGTTCCTACTAACACACAAACAGATAGATAATGCTTTGACTATCATACAACAAGACAGCAGCAGCTTTAGAGAATAGTGAAGTTAATGATCAAAACTGCTGATAATAATTAACAAGACTATAGACAATGAGCTGCCCAGTATACACTAAGTTATATTTTTAAAATCAAAGTTAACTTTCCTAAACAGACCCAAGCAGAAAAGTACCAGAGCATGCCAACATTGACCACTGGAAACAAGAGCTGGAGGTTTAACTTGTAACAAGTTATGAAAAAGCTGCTTTGTACACTGCTCTGAAAAATTCAATAAACTAAAGGAAGATAGCATAGCAGACAACAGAAGGCAGTCATAAACAAGTTTCTCCCAGCTTCAGGAGCACACAAAAAACTGACTGTATAAAAACTAGCCAAATATTCACCTGCTTTGTGAGAACGTTCAGAAATCAGAACAGCAGCACAAGGAACGAGTACAGAAATGTCCTGAAGATCTGGCATGGATCCAAATTTATACTTAGGATTTCAGCCAGAACAGTAACAAGCAGAAGCATATGAATTGATTTTAGCTATCAATGGCAGTACAAAGGGCAACATACAGCGACAAACTGTATAACATAATGGGTGATAGAGGGAAATAGACTATATAGTAGAAAGGGCAACAGACAGAGATAGACTATATAACATAAAGGGCAACAGACAGAGACAGACTACATAACATTAAGAGCAATAGATGGAGATAGACTACATAACATAAAGGACAATAGACAGATATACAACTTAACAACAAAGGGGCAATAGACAGACAGACTACATAACACAGAGAGCAGTAGACAGAGACAGACTACACACAAAGAGCAGTAGACAGAGGTAGACTGTACCAAGAGGAATCTCTAGAGAATCTCACACCTGTTGGGTTTCAAATTCTCCAGTACAATGGGCGTGTCAGGTCTGAAGTTGTCCCGCTTCAGTATGGTGTTTCCTATGCTGGTTGCAAGGTCTATCACTCTGACCCTAGTGACGAGACATGAACAACATTCAAGTACTTTTGTAGTTACAGACAACTGTCATAAACTTCTGAGCTCACTGTATGAGAAATTTCCCACAGACTGGTATAGATGAATAGAAAAATGACTAAAGGACTATTTCCACATCTGAGGCATAAAGGTTATTTGTTGAAGGCAGCATGTTTGTACAGACCACCTGGCACTCCATGGGGGATGTGGTCTAAATAATGTCAGCCACCTTCATTTTCCCAGAACATTCCCTGGAAACCTATTGATTTTATTTATTCAAGTCTGCACTGTTGTGGATTGAAACCCATGGTCACTTAGTCAACAGGTAAACATGATAGCCACTAGAATACCCCAGCTCTGTCAGGTAGAGATGGATGTCAATGTGTTTTAAAACGCGTCTCTGAATCCTGTTTCTGTCTACATTAACCACTGTAAGTGTCATGTTCCACACTTAGTCAAGGATGAAACAGACTGTAGTTAGTCAAGTATGAAACAAACTATAGTTAGTCAAGTATGAAACAAACTATAGTTAGTCAAGTATGAAACAGACTGTAGTTAGTCAAGTATGAAACAGACTGTAGTTAGTCAAGTATGAAACAGACTGTAGTTAGTCAAGTATGAAACAGACTGTAGTTAGTCAAGTATGAAACAGACTATAGTTAGTCAAGTATGAAACAGACTACAATAAGTCAAGTATGAAACAGACTGTAGTTAGTCAAGATTATAAATTAGCTGAACAGACTATAGTTAGTCAAGTATGAAACAGACTATAGTTAGTCAAGTATGAAACAGACTGTAGTTAGTCAAGTATGAAACAGACTGTAATTAGTCAAGTATGAAACAGACTGTAGTTAGTCAAGTATGAAACATACTGTAGTTAGTCAAGTATGAAACAGACTGTAGTTAGTCAAGTATGAAACAAACTGTAGTTAGTCAAGTATGAAACAGACTATAGTTATTCAAGTATGAAACAGACTACAATTAGTCAAGTATGAAACAGTCTGTAGTTAGTCAAGATTAGAAATTAGCTGAACAGACTATAGTCAGTCAAGTATGAAACAGACTATAGTTAGTCAAGTATGAAACAGACTGTAGTTAGTCAAGATTAGAATTTCACCTGAAACTGGCTGTACCCTAAATAACCTCACATGTGAAACCTGTGTCAGCATTAAAACCCCAGAACTCCATGTAGTAGGAACAAAACGTTAAACTTGTGTATAGCACTACATACAGCCCTCTAAATTTGATTGCGTATCCCTTCAACAGATAATCTTTCTCTCCAATATTTTTTGTGCTATTCCACCTTTGCCTCATGTTTTAAAGCTTAAATATACACATTAATGATTTTGTTTAAAACTCAGTTATGGCTTTGTTAAGATAATTCATCATGTACCAAGTTCTTTACAGTTTGCGGCACCCATCGCAGCACAAACAGAAACAAACTAGGTCTCCTGCCAGCTTTCCTCTACCCCTGCTCAGCCCCTGCCCAAATTTTCTGCCCAGAGTGTCAATTATATCTTGTGCCTACCTTCTTTTTGGTCAGCCCCTGGCTCTCTTTCCTGGTAGCACACTCCATTTGATATGGCCAAAGTACTTCAGTTTCTGAGACAAGATGCTGTCTTCAAGCTGTTTTCTTTGATGTTCAGTATTTCTTGTTTTCATGGTCCATGGTATTCTAAGAATCTTTCATTTACATTTCAGCTGAAAGGTCTGACTGACTTCCTCAGTGTTTGTCATCGATCAGTTTAGTAGCAAGTTAAATAATTTAGTTTAGTCTACTTCCTTGACAATTTTTCTTTATAATGATCCCTTTGGTATCTTCATGCTTAATTCCTTTCACTGGTATTTTAAATTACTATTAATAAATATTTAATTGATGGCTATGCTCAGTAAACTTCAACCAAATGCGGAATCAGAAGGGTAGGTGGTCGTGTAAAACAGGAGGTGTGCAAAAAAATTGCTTGAATCAAAATCCTATCAAGATTCATTACAGATTAACAAGAAGAGAAAAAAACAAGAAATTAAAGCGTCTAAAGACGAGTCTTTGAGAAATTATAGAGAACAGATGGCTACCCTCAGCAAGAACCACCCTATAGAATTCTATAAACATTAAAATCATGAGAAAAAGAGATATAAACAACAACTAAACCCCCATCACCGACAATAAGAGAGGCAAACCTCTATTGAGTCCATGCCATTGGTTGATAAGTTGGGCAGAATATTTGCAGAAACTACTCAACCCAACAGCCAATGTAGATGATTTTAACTTTGTACCTTGAAGCTGAGAACAAGATAAACCAAATTTAAAAGCAGTGGAAGTAAAAGCAGTGGAAGTAAAAGCAGTGGAAGTAAAAGCAGTGGAAGTAAAAGCAGCGGAAGTGAAAGCAGCGGAAGTAAAAGCAGTGGAAGTAAAAGCAGTGGAAGTAAAAGCAGTGGAAGTAAAAGCAGTGGAAGCAAAAGCAGCGGAAGCAAAAGCAGTTATACAAAACAACCCAGAAAACAAAGCACTGGGTCCAGATGGAATAAATACAGAAGGGATCCAAGTGCAGAGAAGTGGGTGTTAAATGGCTAACTAGAATTTTTAATATATCTTGGGAAGAAAAGTCCCAGCTCAGTGGCAACAGGCACTAAAAGTACTGTCATGGAAAAAAAGAAAGGTAATAGGAGAGAATGTGAAGCATACAGAGGTATATCACTACTGAGTCACGTAGAAAAAATGTACACCAAATTACTAGAACAAAGAGTTAGACCCATAGCCGAACAACAATTGAGTGCATCACAATTTGGTTTCAGAAAAGGCAGAGGATGAACAGATGCATTGTTCACTCTGAGACAAGTGTATGAGAAAGCCGTTGCGTATAATTCATTCATTCAGTAGCATGTCCCTCGCGGAACCTCGCTGCCATAACAACCCTCCGGAAAATCTTCCTATCCTGAGCAAGATGTCCTGCGTCTGATACACCCATCTGGAGCTCATCTGCCACATCCTGCACCCATCTTCTCCTTGGCCTTCCTCTTCCTCTCTTCCCAGGCATATACCCCTCCATTATTGTTCTCTCTAGACTTCCATGACGTTTCAAGTGACCAAAATATTTCAATTTTCTTTGTTTTATTGTCTTTACTAGCCAACCCTCTTCAATATTCAGCTCTTGAAGTATGGATGCATTTGTTCTTTTCTTTACCCAAGATATTCTTAGAACCTGTCTGTAACATTTATATTCAAATGCATTTATGCGCTGTTCCGCTTGTTTAGTAAGTGTCCAGGTCTCACAGGCGTATGTTGCAATGGGAAAGATGCATGCTCTTAAAAATCTGACCTTTGTAATTCTATCTGTACAATTCCATAATTTATTCAGTTGTTTTAGTCTTTGAAGAGCAATTGATAGTCGCCGTTTAATTTGCGTATAATACCCAACAGAATATTTTGTTTGTTGATCAGGAAAAGATAGAGTTGATAGAAACAAACTGTGGTCTGTTCTTGAGAACTACAGGGTACAAGGACAATTGCTAGAGAACTTCATAGCCATGTACCACAAACAAGCCAAATTGCAGTATGAACACAAGAAGGCATATCAGATATGTTCACAGTCAACACAGGTGTGAGAAAGGGAGTGTACTCTCCACACTTTTATTCAACATTTATATAGACAGAATATCTAAAGAAGCAAGTCCTAATACAAACAGCAGCATAGATCATAATCATCATGAGGAAGCACCCTTATCAGACGAAGTAATTGATTAACCCGCATAAAACAAACTACTATTTGCTTATTCTACAGTGAAGAAGATAGACTACAAGACATCATTAAACACAATGCAAACAAAAGTGAAACAATGCAAGCTAACAAAGCCTCTGGCCCACTACACACATAGCTGAATGGTTTTGGCCTGAATCAAACTAGGAAGTATGATCACAGAAGATGGTAGAATTGACAGAGAAATAGAAACAAAATGTCAGAAAGCAAGTGCACTTATATACCAGCTGTCACCAATATTAAGACATCCAAACATAACTATGAGTGCGAAGAGACAGATTATAAACAGCATATTCATTTCAACATTAAGCTACCAGTGCCAAACATGGACACTATCTAAAGCCCATAACACAGAATCACCACCTGCGAGAAGAGATGCCTGAGAGAAACAGCCAAACTAATCATCCGAGATCGGGTGAATAATGATACTATCAAACAGATTGTGGGAACCACACCTTGCACCAGATTCATCGAGAAACAGTAGATCAAGTGGTTTGGCCATCTCGTTAGAATGCAGCAAGATCAAACACCATCACAGGCACTACATTTCAAAAGATCAGCTACAAGAACAAGAAGACAGCTTCAACAAAAATATGGATCTAAAACATAAAAGACACTTGATGCCTTCATGGAATGACAATAGTCAGCACCAACCAGCGTGCAGTAGATCACAAATCAAATCTCTACACGACGTTAACGGAACAAGTGGCTTATGAGGATGAGCTATTTAATGTGTTTTCTTTAGCCTTTTGTTTTCAGCTTTTTAAAATTAAAATTTCTTTGCTAGTATTCATTTGTATATTTTAAAAAAAATTATTTTATTTTTGTTTCTTTTTATCATTCTTTCTATGTTTCATACAAATGTTGTAACTGTAACAGACGCTGAAAGAATGCTGAAAAAGGTGAAGACAAGGATGCTTTGAGCTGAGTGGAAAGCTTCACTGGAAAGGTCAAGGATTTTTAGCATGCTTTGGATCTTTTCTCTAGGCTATGCTGGCATGGTGGGTAATGAACAGGCAGACAGATCGGCTGGATCTGCACCACATGACAAGGCAGTTGTGGTCAAGGCCCTTTGAGAACGAGCAACGGAATTATTAGAGAAAGAAGATTATTATGGCCTGGGGAGAATGAGGCACCTGGGTGTAACCACAGGGTCTGGCCAGCTGACTACACTCAGAGGAAAGGCAAGACGGACATTTAACCAGATTGTGACCGGTACCATCAGTATAGGAACTCTGCACTG